ACACATTTGACGTCGGACGTAGTTTTCTTTTGTCAAGACAGACAGGCAGGACACTTTTGACGTCGGACGTAGTTTTCTCTTGCCAAGACAGACAGGCCGGACACATTTGACGTCGGACGTAGTTTTCTCTTGTCAAGACAGACACGCCAGACACATTTGTCGCCGGACTTATCGTTTCTTGTCAAGACAGACAGGCCGGAGACATTTGACGTCGGACATAGCTTTCTTTTGTCAAGACAGACAGACCGGACGCATTTGACGTCGGACGTAGTTTTCTCTTGTCAAGAGAGACAGGCCGGACACTTTTGACGTCGGACGTAGTCTTCTCTGGTCAAGACAGACAATGGGCTGGGAGCATGTGACGCTGGACCCAGGGCCGGACACAAGGGACGTCGGACGCGTTTGACGTTGGACGTAGGGCAAATTGACTTGAGGCAGCAGGGCGCAAGTGACACTGCTTCCCCAGGCCAGGACAAAATTACCTTTGGACACAGATTTCAAGAGGCAGACCCATTTGATGTCAGACCACGTTTCTCTGGTGAAGACAGAACACAGAGAGCGTACTGGGCTCATTGGATGTGGGACTCTGTTTTTCTTTAGAAGGGGCTGGGCATGACTTGACGTCGGACATCGTTTTCTCTGGTGGACAAACCGGAGAAGGGTCAAGCGAGTCAAGCCATTTAAAAAGCCACTGGTTACCCGGCCTGAGCAGACCGGTCCTATCAAAACGAGTGCATCTCTAGGATGAATTGTCCAAATTTGAGACGCCATGCAAGCGGAGCACGAAAGAACCATCCACATATTTTCCCACGTTTTCTGCTGGACAATTACCTATGACGCGTATGACCACGATTTCCGAGTGATCGGCCGCACCGATACTGTAGCTCCTGCCTATGAATTTCCGCCCAGCTGCATGAGTTGTCCAGTACCAGTAGCAGAGGACGCCTTAGTCGACCGGGCTTGAAGAGGGGCGGAGTAGATGTCTAACTCAACACTGGATATGCATTATTGACTCGGAACTAGTTTCAGCCCGCGGGAAGCGTGTCAGTTTTGAACCCCCCACAAACCTTTCGACTGAGTGTCCATGTTGGGTTCACAATAAAAGGGCAGACGCACCATGCAAAGTACTCAGCCTTGTGTTCATCAAGGCTGCAGCCGCTGTAGTACGCGATGTAGAGCTGTCGGAACTACCCATCACCGGCGGACGAAAGCCTCGAAAAACACAAAAACAAAACACTCTTCACACCACTGGTGTTGATGGTGTTGATGCGGTTGATGGTTCTTTTCTGGTAATGGAGACATGTTGGAACCATAAGGTCACTGACCCGGTGACCAAAGATCAGCAATCCCGCGGGGTCCTGTGGCACCAGTTCTACCAGGCCACTTCACACTCAGAATCTTTGGCCCCCTGATCTGCGTCGACGGCGTCGGTCGATCTCCGCGGCGACCGTTCATGAAACATCGCGGCCGCCGCCGGACATTGATTGTCGTAGTTCGTGAAACCGCCGAAAACCGCTGCCGGATTTTCGGTGGTGCTTTTGATGCTTGCTTTTTCGGCTTCTTCCGTGGCTTCTGGAGCGCAAGGGGGGCGAAACCGATCTGATTTCTTTTTAGGTGCAAGACTGGCAAGACATGTAACATGTAGCTCTTGGTCAAAATCTGATATGAAGAAAGGGGTATTTCATTGGATCAACTACGAGCTCCTTGATCTTCTCGAACGATACTTAGGGTGAACCCATTACGATACTTTTCAGCTACGATACTCGAAGTTCTAAACGTTTTTCCTTCAAATCCATAAGGGTGATGCCAGCTGACATCTATCTGCAACTCCTTCCATTCCGACTCCATGATCGACTGATCGAGGCCGAACATCGGCAAGTCTCAGAAAAGAGTCATGAGGAATCAGGAATGAATGATATTTTTCCCACGTCAGAAACACATCCTGGAATAATTCCTGAGCAATACGAAAAGAGCCATACGAAAAGAGCCATACGAAGAGAGTCTGCGTCCGTTTTCGTTTGTCTTGGGAGTGGATGGAGTGGACGGGAACGAAGACCGACAGAGCCTTTTTTTCGACTTTAGGACCCGACAGCCGCCCTAGTCAGTGAATGGCGATCATCGTGTCATTGCCTAGAAAGGAGTGTGTTTTTGTTTGGTTTTTATGTTCATTCTCTGTTTTTGGTCGAAACTTTTGGTAAAAGAAAAATGCATCACTCAAAAGTTAGAAGACCATATTTTCTGACCTACACTTCCTTCTGTGGGAGAGATAACCAACCCTCCCATCCACCTAGAATCCTCCGAGAAAGTTTGGGTGTCCTTCGCACACTTTGCTGGAAAGAGACGTGGCACTTTTTCGTCCTGACCGCCTTGCTCCTGGGCGAAAAGCCAACCCCGCCACGGAAAAGGAACGCCACGGCCACCACGGAACGGAACGGAAAACGGCGCCGCGGTGCCTCGGGCCTTTTGCGGGCGCCGCGGGCGCGACCGTTGCGCCGGTGGGAGCCACCATCAACCGCGCTTGGGCGGACACTGCAGCAATGAACCCTCAGGAAAGTCTTTAAGGGTTTTCCGCTGCTTTTCCCCGCGACCGGCTGGGGCGAGCCATTCGCGCTCGGAGCGACCCATTCCGAGCCCAAGGACAGAACCACGAGTCGAGCCGAGGAGCGTAGGACGAAGGACAACGAGACGAGGAGACCGACAGACCGTTGATCTGTAAAACCCGGGGGGTTGATTTTTAGAGGTGTATTCAGAGTCATGGTCGTGGCTTCAAGTGGATTGGATATCAAAGGATGCGCGGGTTGATGGGTGGACATGTGAGCTTCAATGTCAGGGGAACCTTCCAGTGATTCTGGCATTGATGTCCACATCAAGAGCCTGCATTAAACACTAGAACCGTACAGGTTCAAAGACCCAGCAAAGCCCGGTCCTTTGCCTCATTTCAGTACTGTTTTTTTTAAGATCAATTTCAGTAAAACGATATTTTCGACCTGTCAGGGAATATTCTTTTATAGCTTGTGACTTCCTTCACCCAAAGCTATACTTTGAGGTGTCCTGCTCCACTGGAATTGATGGCAACAGTGACGTCTTTTCTGTTTCTGAAGACAGGTATAGCTCTAGAAGATTAACACCCCACAAACTCAATAATGATATATGAATCCAAGCAATAAACTACGAGCACTTCCGTGGAGAAAATGGCTTTTCTCAAGTAATCCACAAACGATATCCTCCCTTAGTAGGAGAGGAAGCTATATATACGCGGTATCCAACGTTATCCACCCTTAGTTAGTTATCCAAAGCCCACAAAACATGCCGTGTTGGACGGTATACGTGCAGCAACATATAGTCAGAGCGATGATAATGTTTCCAATCGTCTTCACCTCTGCGGGAGCCTCAAAGCAATGAGGCAAGTGTGCTGGTCCTGTTTCGATCTGGTTTCCTTTCACCAAAAATCCTCAAAACGTGTGAGACTTTGTCACGGAAGTGACTTCGTGCCACGGAAGGTTTTTCTCATCAAGTCGGAAGGCCCTTTGGCCCTTTGAAAGGGGGGCTTGGTCCTTTTTTGGGTCACGCCGTGCGGGGCCCTCGTCCCATCACACCACTGCCGTTCCAGCCACGCCGAGCGCTCCGAGCGCTCCGAGCATCGGCCCCGCCCCAGCCACGCCGCGGCTCGCCGGAAAGCTGTCTCCTTCGGCCGGCGACGATCGACTGGCTGGAAGAAATGACTGGTTGGAGGTCGGGAGAGTGGGGCGGAAACTGTGGAAACTAGGGTTCCAATGGGGAGTGTGATGATGTATGATGAACTGTATGATGTATGCAATGTGCATAGAACCTTGAAGGAGGCGAGCTCCAAAAAGCTTGGGGATCTGGACTCATTGGCACTTCCCACCAGTCGCTCGCCCCTCGCCCCAGTCCGTGACGTTTCACTCGTCCGTCTTCCCGAACTCCCCACGGGTCGCTCCCCCTCCCCAGGCCCTGCTCGGCGTCGGGCCGGTGGCGGCAGATCTGCCGGTGCCGAGGGTTGGACGGTCGTCGGGACGGAACGGCGAAAAGGCTGAAGACAAGCCGCTGTTTCTTCTCGGAAGGTCCGGTCCCTGTGAAGCCGATCTCTAAAACAGCCATGTGATCTCTTGAACTGGGGTGATTGAAGGGGCTGTGAAGCACGGAGTTGACAGCAGCAGCCACTGCTGCCCAAGTTGGAATATGGGGTTCTAGCTACTGAAGGTGGGCCAGGGCTCATTTGTTTGGCCCAGATTTCAGGTACACTGCCTTCGCCATCAGATGCTGGGGCGGTGGCATTTCTTCTTAGGCCCGCCACAGGAGGAGTGCCTTTGGCCTCAAAACGGGGGGAGGGCTGGGCATGGACTTGAGACAAGGAGTTCACGTGGACAAAAGTTTTTTGGTGAACGGGAAGTCTGCTATTGGTGGATTTGTTTCTAGTTTCTACATAGCTCTACTGATTCCTCCAGTCTTACCGACTCTGTAGTTCTTGGAAGGGGCTTCGAAATCAAATGCTTGTTCGGCTTGTTCTACATTCCGTGTTTGTTCGAAGAGAGAGACCAATGAATACTGGTAGAATGAGCCAATCTATCAGAATAGGGAGACAGTCGGGATGCCCTCCGACGGGCTCCCCGCCGGCAGATCTGAGCATCGAGGTCTTGAATCGAACGGATCAAACAGAGTTCATTTGACAGCCACAAAGGGTGTACAGCTAACTATCTAACACCACAAAGGGTGGTGTTCACATCTATATAGCTAACTTTTTGATATCCCCAAACGGTTTACTGTTGTTGTTCTCCCGGATAAGGAAAAGAACAAGCCTGGCCACGATAGCCGTGCCGTCCACCCTGTCTTCTCAGCCTTGTCCGGGCCTGGTCCCCTTTCTCCACCGCGCGGCGTATTCCCTTTCTCCACCGCCTTGTCCGGGTTTGCTCTTTTGTGGCCATGAATGCAATAGTGATGCAGCGTTTGAAACGTGATTCCAACCTGCTCCCAAGAATCACTCACTTTTGTATACTTTTGTCATGCTGTCCTCAAACGGCTGGAGGCTATAGGAAAAGCATTTCAAACCTTTCCACTGACGCAAGCAATCCTGCTGAAGCTGTTTGGGGTCAATGCTGGAACAGTTTTGGGCTAACAAAGCTGCCGGAAGAGGAACCCTTGTGGTGCTACAAAGCCGCAGAAAGAGGACAGGAACTCGACTAGTCACGCCTCGTGAGGGCTTTTTACTCACGAAGCTCAGTTTCAATTGCTCAAGTACTCTTGTAACAGTTATATGAGAGATCTATAAAAACAGGTTATATGAGAGATCTGAACAATCACTTAGCCATGTGTGCTTCCCACACTGAATCACGGACACGCTGCTTTTCCTAGGCGCTCCGCCTGTGGCCACCAGCGGCCGGACCGCCCGGAGCAGCAGCCGCCCCGAAGCGTGGCGAACGCCAGCGTCTGGGAGGCAGGGGGTCGGGTTGGGTTCGAGTTGGGGGAAACCCGGAGCAACTGCCGGTTTTGGCCGTGGAAGCTCCGTCATTACTCAACTCAGAGGCATTTTTTATCTCGGTTCCAAAACGACGATGCCTTTTTCCCCCCCAAAAATACCACTCTTTCTTCTTTCCCCGCTTTTCCCAGAAAAATGGGCCTTTCCGGTGGAACGCGGTGGGACACGCGGTGTGAGTCGACGCGTGAGTCGACGTCCGATCCGCGATCAGGTGGAGCTGCTGAGCCCGAACGTGGCCCACTCCAACGGATCTCGGGGCCGATGGACCGGCGCCAGCGCCGTGCGCGGTGTGCGGGCGGTGCGCGTGGGGGGGCGAAAAGGGAACGGGGTAGGCAGAGGACGCGACTAAGCTCGTGTGAGGAAGGCTGATGAAATGAAGAATCATCCCCAAAACTGGGGGGGGCCCATGCGTTTTGTAGTCCTAGCTGCTTGGTGATGCTTTGTGTGGGGTCTTCTTGCCCTTGGCTATATATAATAAAGAAGTAATTGGATGTTGAAATGAGCCAACCTCCCAGATTCCAATCGGTGGATTGGTGGATGAGCAAACTGTTTGGGGTTTGATCGGTGGTCGACTGATGGTTGAAAACCCCGGGGGTCGACCCACAGGTGCTGGGAGCTGATGCATGCATGCATGCTGCGCCAAAAAGAATCGGTCGGATGACTGATTCGATGGAGAGACGAGACTGGGGCGACGAGAGAGGAGGGCGATGGTTGTTGCCATGTCTTTTTTGGGAACCAGTCGTGTAGACGGTGGAGGATTTAAGGGATGGCACCCCTTTCATATCTTTTGGTCCACCATCTTCATCTGGAGGGGGTTTGGATTATCTACGGTTTGGGTGACATCTTGAGGTCTCGACATGTTTGTCTCTCCACTTCAGGTCCGCCCATTCGGCTTGACCGAAAACAAATCCGGTCTGTCGACCAGTCCGGAGAAGGCCACCAAATCCACCAAATGGACTTTTTCTTTCGCTTTCGCCAAGGACGGTTGTCTGCGGCGGCATGCACTAATTAGGTCAAGTTGGGTGAGGGTCTCTGCCCTCTATTGCCAAAGTCCTCCCCACCAAATGGACCCAAAGATATATTCACATCCAGGAGTCACGTTCGACAGGGTGCGATCCATGGAGGTTAAGGCCGGAAGTCGAGGTGCCCCGAACGTCACATCCACGGCGGCTGGGACCAAACACCACACCACAAACACCACACCACCCCGGTATGACTGTGACTACTGGATGACTCATTTTCATCGATCGAAGATCCGACTCTCCCTGGATCGAAGAAGAAGCGAAGCTACCGTCATGCTATACGTACGGACGCGGCATGCTCGGTTGGAGGCCATGGCTAGAGTCAGTTGGTTGGAGGCCGAATCTCGCTCAGCAACGCAACCGGAGAAGCCACGAGCCACGGTCGGCGAATCGGAGGACGATGATCTACGACGAGGCGATGGAGGTGCAGGTCAATGGCCTCTCCTTCTTGGCCTTCTCGCGTTTTGAGTGTCGAGACAAAACAAGCGTGGGACGGCACCGCGGGAGGAAGGCACGGCAGGAAACCGAAGGCACAAGCGGCTGATGTTTTTTTGAGGCTTTTTTGCGGTCTGGACTCTGGACAGAAGTGGTTTTTGGAAAAGAGTTGAATCCAACGAAGCAGAGAGGGGGATCGATTTGGAAGATTCAAGTGGATCGCTTGTTACCTTGAAGGAGCTGATGGTATGTGTCGAAAAGAGACCAAACCCGCCCTCCTCCCCGGCTCCATTTATTAATGTATTCACATAAGTGGACGTAAGTGGAAGCTGCTCAGAGGTTCTCATTGAGGAACTTGGGATTTGGCAACTGGTGCTTCTGGCCACAAACGGATGCTTTGCAGGAAGATTCAGATGAACAGAGTAATTTTTGAGGGCATATCAGACTACACAGACCCCCCAGCCAGGGGATGCTGGGTCTCCCAAGTTTCACACACATGCCCAAGTTCTTTCAATTGAAGCGATCGAGCAAATGATTAAACAGATCAAAAAGTTCAATCCGTTTGGGCTCAAGATCATTCAGCATTATTCTAGCAATCAATTTGCAGCCTCTTGCAGCCTGTGATTTCTCCATGCTCCGACTCATAGCTTTCCTGTGCGTTGGCTTGGTGGCCAGTGTGCGTCCTCAGGTTGGTAGTCCCTTGCACACGGCGGTGTTTAAGGGTCGTCATTTGGGGGCCATTGCGCCCTTGGCAGACGAAGAGGATGTGAATGGCCTTGAGGAAGGTCAAACCCCCTGCAATCACTCAGGCACCTGCCTTCTTCAGGGCTTCCACGATCGAAGACCTCTGGCGCTCTGAGGCATACATCAGAGCGGTCTTTCCGTAGTCATCCACAGCGTCGGCTTTGGCCTTGGCGTCCAATAAGGCCTGTACCACGTGCACATCCCACTTGTCGGCATAGGCAGCAATGCCCAGAGGAAGCTCCTTCTTCCGGTGGGGGCCGGTCTTCATGTTCACGTCTGCATTCACTTCAATGAGCTTTTCAACCAGCAGCGGGTTGCCTTTCTTACATGCCAAGCCCAAAAGGCTTGGGGAGGGATGGTGCACGGCGGAGTTGTGCAGATCATCCACAACATACCAAAGTCCTCATTGACTCATGTCATTATCTCAAACGACACGTCCTTAGTCCATCTTAGTCTTTAGCCTCCCAAAGCAACTTTGCTCATACATCTCAAAGCCATGGTGTGTCTGCCAAAGATCAGCTTTCTTGAGTTTCAGACTAAGATCAATCTTTTCCACTTCAAGCTGCTTCAGGTGTTCTATGATTTTAGACCCGGCTTTGAGACTCTTAGGCCCCCCTCTTACAGCAACCAGCTTCATTCTGCGGACATCTCCAAAGGTCTGCCTTGACATCGGACATCGCGCGCATCTGAGGCTTGGAGAGGGCGGTGCCAACGTTTCGCTCTGTGGCGAGACGCAGCTGGGGTGGTACCGCGATGAGCCGGGCAGCCGCTGGGGATGCTTCTACGGGCTCAAGATCGAGGAGAGCCAGGGCAAGAAGGGTGGACGTCCTGGACGTTCAGCTCCTTGAAAGGCGGAGGTGCAACCTGCAAAAAAACCTTGAAGGCTTGCTGGGTTTGGTCTTATTTTGGTTGGTTGGGATTCCGGATTGTGGTTTGGTGCTGGCAGTGGCTGGGGGGGCGATGGATCGCGTGTGCTCAAGGTGAGTGGTGGGTTCAGTGCAAATATCCCAGGTGAGTTCGTTGGAGCCAGGACACTGCAAGGTGAGTTCATCCCATCTTGCGGCTGTAAGTACCCGTAGTCCAGCAGGGTCCCATCTATATCAGCAAAGTCCCCCCCCCAAAAAGCAGAACGAAGAACAGGACACTTGACAAAATAAACAAAAGATGCCGTTCCAGCGGCAGGAGCCGTGAACTTTCGGACCTGGCCTTGCAGGACCAGCCCTCCCCCGGTCCGGCGGGTCTGGCGCGCGACTCCCGGCGCGCGGGTGCCGGCGCGCCGCTGGATGCGTCGGAGCATTGGGTCTTCGTGGGCGCGTTGACGCTTGGGCGATCGGTGAGGAGGGCGGAGCAGTTGGAGGGGGTCAGATGGAGAGCCGTAAGATGGAGGGGATGGCAATATGATTTTTCCAAAAAGGAGGAACTCTTGAGCACAAGTGAGTTGGGAGCCTTCTGGGTGGATTGATCAGGATTGAGGATTGATGAAGAGTTGGCTTCTAGCTCTTGTGGGGCCTCATCAAACACCTGGTGGCTTGCCTTCTTGAGTTCCTGGGTCGGGTCTGGGTCAAGAAGCAGCCTTGCCAAAAACCCTATCATCACATATCATCACCAGATGTTCACTTCATGCCGCGGTTGTGGAGCTGTGAACCAGCAAAGGTTCACTGAAACTCATTTACATCTGTTTGTGATCGTTTCACCCTTCTTCTCGTTTCGTCTTCGGGGAAACCTGAAGACATGTCATCGAGCCTGAAACGTTGGGAGCCTTGGACAAGTGTTCTCGTCGTCCAAAAACCGAACGCGGAGGGAAGCGCTCCACCTGAACCATCGGCTTAGTGTCGAACCAAAACGATGGCTCCCCCGTAAAAGTCATGAGCAGAGTGGCCTTGTCCACGAGTGAGGTGTGGTGAAAAGGAGGACACCCCCGATGACCCGTACCAACCCCCTTCCTCCTTTTTGGTTCTCTTTCACCCCCGACGGCTGATGGGACCAACGGCGGGCTTTCCGATCGCCTCGAAGGCTTTCTTTGGTCCGCCCGCTGGGGTTGGGTCAGGGTTGGGTCACCGTTGTGTGCGCGTCCGGTGTGTCTGCCGTTCTGGTGCGGCAGACCGGCAGGAAAAGTGGTACCATTTGCTTTCACCATTGGGATTGGCATGCCACGAAACCAGCTTCGTTTTGCGAACGTGGGTGATTTCATAGGGTTGATCAATGTTGATTATGTTCATCCTGCCGACCAGAGAGTCTGCGATGATGCCGTTTAACACGTGGCAGGATGAGATGAAACATGTGGAAAAAGGTTTAACCTACCTGGACCTTCAAGGGGTGTCCAATGGAGGTCGCTTAGTAGTGTAGGGGCTTCCATTGGTGACCCCTTTGAAGGTGCTGGTATATTTTCCAGGTCAGCAGAACTTGCGGCACCCAACAACCTTTGCTGCCGCCACTGACTTCAAAAGGTCGATGCTTTCAACTTTTTTTGGTTTGGAGTCGCTCAGGAACCTCCTTCAAGATGCTTGGAAGGCGCTAGTTGCCTGCTAGCTGGGCTGGTGGACAACGGGCCTGTCGCTGGGTAGGAAGAACGAGGTTTTGATTTACACCATCCGTGGATCCCCTGACCTTAAGCTTCGACGCCCCCAAGTCCTGGCCTCCTGGTGACGCCTCCGATGGCTGTGGGGAACTGGCACCCCGGGCACCGGGAGACACGATTGCTTGACCCACCTGGAAGTCTGTTCGCTCGATGGAACACCTACGAGAGGGTTCAACGACCCAGGTTCCCCAGATGATTTGGCTTCTTGACTTCAGGTGCGAACTCGGATGCCCAGGCAGTTGGCCCGAAGTTCGATGGCACCAGCCTTCTTTGATGTCGTTTAAACTCAAGGTCCATATAAACCGCCAAGCTTGGGGAATGTGTCGTCGACTCTGAGACCACTAGGCGCGATCCTGGAACCGTTTTGGGGCGTCCTCTTCGTGTCTCAAAAGGATCCAGACGCTCCGCAATCCGCGCGCGGAGTTGCGGAAGTGCAAGTGATCCAGTGGAGCCGAATGGTCGGTTTTGACTGGAAGCGTCACCTTTCGCCATTCAAACCAGCCTTAGAGCGACAACCTCAGGTTGTCGCACTCACTCCAAACATCTTGACAAGGGTCCAATCTTGCTCCGCTGAGGTGAAAAGGCCCATGCTGCTTGGTAGGGAAGCTGAAGCCTGTTGTCGGGTCCAATCTTCTTCGCCCAAGACGCAGCTCCACCCGCTCACAGCTCCACCCGCTCACAGCTCCGCTTCAGGCCACCGTCTACGATCGGTTCGTGGGGAAGACTTTGCAGGATTGACCTTTTCGGGTCTGTCGGCTTGGACGATGGATCGGATCGAGAGAACAGACACTGAAAGATAGAAGGGCACTGAACCCTGTCTGAAGGTGTTTCAGGGGTGCTGTTAAGCCTTTGAATTCGCGTCACTTTGTCCTAGTTTCATTTTAACTGGAGCGGACAAGGGAAATCTGACTGTTTAGTAAAACAAAGCATTGCGATGGCCTCAGAAGGTGTTGGTGCAATGTGATTTCTGCCCAGTGCTCTGATTTCTGCCCAGTGATGAAATTCAAACAAGTGCGGGTCAACGGCCGGGGCAACCGTGAGTCTCTACAGGTGGCCAATGGTAATCCACCTTTTGTTCGGGGGCAGGGTCCTTGAACCAACCGGGACACCCCTGGAAAGGGTCCAAAGCAATCTCAAGCCATTGAAGGCTGTCAAAGTGAAGCGCTGCCCTCACAGGGGGCAGGTTGATATGGGTACGGGTATGGGTCGAAATAAGGCTTGCTGTGGTCGACTTGGGTTTTACAGCTTTTTCAACATGAACCTGTAGCTCCGGATCGTTCTTGGAGGTAAAGCCAATTTTGAAGAGAACCTCGTCCTACCGGTCAGTTATGGTTTGGAGCCCAAAAGAACCTCATGTATTCTTTTGGGGTGGATCCTTCAGAAAAGCTCTGATCGAACAGGAGCTGAATGCCTTGGCCGGAATCTTCCGGCCCTTTACACGGCAAAAGAGCAGGGAGGCCAGGCTTGGAAGAGGAATTCCATCGAAGATCAGGGGTCATCGAAGATCAGCCTGGGGTACGGTGTTTGCCTTTGGATCCTTTGGCGGGTTTTTCTTTGGGTTTCCGTTTCTATTTCGATCCATTTCGCACTGACTTGCGATGATCATCGCCCCACGTTCGACTCTTCTTCCAAGGCCCAAGGCCCAAGGCCTCTCAGCCGACAGTGCCAGTGCTGCACCACGGGACTGACCGGTGGAGGACAACGACGAGGTCCACCGACCATCTCCCTCCCGCCTTTTGGGTTCAACCACGATCCCATCCGCTACGAAGTTCGCCACGTGAACTCGACGTCGTCGGAAAGCTGGTCGCGGCCCGTGTCGGCCACTGACCTCTGGGGCACAGACACGAGCGATGGGATGAAACGTCACCCCTTGAAACGAGCGATGGGAGTCACATGCCAGTCCAATTTATAGTGGTCCTCAGATAGAAAAGAAGAATCCCCACGTTCAGAATGTATTGGAAAGAGTGCCACTATATACTATATATAGATACCTGGATCTTCCAATTATGCCCAATTTCTGCCTTTTGGCTGCTTTTTGTAAATAAGTGAAATGAAAAGGCATAAATTTGTGGAAGATCCAGGTGTATCCAACACGATGTGGACCACTTTTCCTTCCTTCCTTCATTTCATTCAAGTCTGTCCTCGCGTCGCTCGTTTTATCCACGTCCTCGCTCGGTCGTTGACTTCACCGACGCGACGCGACGCGACAGGCGGATCCCGACTTCGGCGCGCCCAGCTTCCTCCGGCGGGCGCGGCGGCGCTCCAAGGCGGTGAAGGGCCGCAGGCGACGGATGTGGCACCCGCGTGGCGGTGGGGACGGATGTGAAGCCTTGTGAAGCCATAACGGTGGGGTTTGGGGGGAACTGAAGAATTTCGAACAGGACATGTGAATACGGGATTTTCTACACTGCATCTTCAAGGGCGAGGCCTTTTTGGAGGGTTGCTCATTTTCTGGTGAATTGGTCTCCAGAGTCTGAGTATAGCATCTCCTAGATTTTGTGCTTCTTGAACGCTGCAAGATCAAGTCTTGGATCCCTAGTGGCGCAGCTTCTTCAGCTGGATTTCTGGCCTCGCTCGGCCTCTTTCGAGGTCCGAACACGAAAAGAACGCGAAAGTGCGACGGTCCTCTTTATTTACTCAACATGGTCCTTTCGACTTTGCCTCACTATTGGCCGGAAAGGTTTTCTATGTGTTTGAGAAAGTCTTTTTTGGGGGGCCACGGATAGAACCTAGGTTTGGGTATAGCTTCAAGAATACACGATGGGTATCCCAGCCGCCTCTCTAAACAAATTATGGATTCTCCCTTGTTTGGTGCCGAAACGGAAGATAAATCATATTTCACCCATCCGGAAGGACCTTTTTTGGTGAGACATAGGACACTCAACACTCAACTTTAAACACTCAACACTGCAGATGAAGAACTACCCCGAGATTCTCCAAAGATCAGCTCATACCATGCTAGTTGCTAACTTCTCAGGCAGATGACTCATTTTCTGCCCATTTCCACTGGATCCCTCCTCGCACACTCGAACACTCCGCTTTTTGCTCTGGTGAGGCCGCTTCCCACGCAATGGGACTGGCGCAACGTCTCGGGAAGGCGCGAGAGAGAGAGAGAGAGAGACGCCCTGACTTTCACAGAGACGCCTCTCTCCCTCCAACAAACATGGTGGAAGTGGATTGGAGTGGAGTTCACCAAGCACCATTTCAGAGGATTTCAGGGTCTTTCCAAGCACCATGCCATTCATTCAACCGTGAGTGTGGGAGAGGGAGGTCTGTTTTCCAAGTCAAAGGGAAGATCTGCCCTGAAGTTTGGTGAAAACCTTCGCTCCAGTTCCGCTCCGATGCCCTCACCGAACGCCGGAGCCGCTGGGCGCCGCTGGGGCCGGTCGACACGGAGGGTCACGCGACACCGAGGTATGGAGGGGAAGGTATGGAGATCCGATGAGACCCTGGAAGTCCGTTTGGAAGTCCGTTTGGACATGTTGATCTGGCTTTCAATCGTTGTAACATACCTCCCAGTGTTCCACAGCTGGGGGTGGTGAAGGAAGTCTCGGGATTCGGGATATTGAAATCACATTTAGTGGTTCGACTTCTAGGGTAGATGCCGCATACAAAGAGACAGTGTCACATCGTCACTTCTGATCTCTTTCTGTATTCAGCAATAGCTTCAATAGCTACCAATCACGTTCGACGGGGTGCGATCCATGGAGGTTCGGGGTGCCTGAACGTCACATCCACGGCCCCGAACGTCTGGGACGAGCCACACCACCACGCAGTCAGACCGGACTCTCCCGTCCGAAGGCACGGACACGGCCCGGCGACCGTGCCGACCGCGCGACCGGGCGATGCCGACTGCGACCGCGAGACGACCACGCGGCCGCTTCGTCTTCGCGGTGAGGAACTTCTTAGACGAAGTCATTGACCAAGGGACCTGCGGCTCTTGCTACATGGCCTCTTGGCGCGAAGGCGGGCGAGGGCGAAGGCGGGCGTGTCATTGGGGGGCGAAGAGGCGGGCTTGCCGCGCTGATGGAAGGTTCAACTAAGAGGGGTGCCCCCCCCCCACTATGCCCTTCGGGTGACGAGCATCGAAATTCGTGTTCGGATGGACGGATGTCTTCGTGTTTGTTCGGGGACCACCGAGGTGGACCCGGAGGGGAATGAGGGGTGAAGGGAGGAGGTGTGTCGTATCCAGGACTGCAGAGTCTAAGCCTTCGGTGGAGATACGACGACGAAAAAGGGCCGGTTTCTGAAACAAGGAGGAAGGAACTGTCGAACATCGATTTCTTGGAATCAATCAATTAATCAATCGACTTAGGAATTGGTTGAAGATGTTTGAGAACATCCATGATTCGGGCCCACGGCAGTTAACCACCACTGCAACGCGAACTGCAACGAACTGCACACGGTTCGTCCACACTGCGCCTCTCTTCGGGTGGATCACCGATGCGCCGTGCTTCGTCGGTTTCCAAGGTGGCGACCACCCACATGTTGGCTGCGAGATACCGCATCAAGCACGATCCCCACTTCGAAGGCGAGGCGCGCGGCTTGGTAGAGGTTGGCAGAGATTTTGCAAAGCTGGAAGATCCAGGAATGGAGTCAACTGAATCTGATGAGATCGAAGCCAAGTCCCAGCTGCCGGAACCACCTTCTTTTAGTCGATGGTGATCATCTCTGTTTCTTTTCTTTTCGATGTTTCTTCAAGGGCGCTCTTGGTGTTCTTGAGTGGGAGAGGGGAAGAGTTTCTGGCCATGCCATGTTCTGCCAAAACAAGGTGCTGCTTTTCCTCAAGCCTCCACACCGTGGTGCTTGTAGTGTCGACGGGAGGCTTTTCCTTCAACTTCCCACTCTTCTGCTCGGAGTACAACCAGGCGACGGCGAAGAGATCTGTTCGTAGACTTTTGGGATGGGTTGGCCGACTTCGGCAGATCCAGTGGAATTTCCACTTCTGTGATTCTCTATTCAACACCGACTTGTTCTTGCCGGGCTTTTTCCAATCGCAAATCCACTGTTGATGGAGGGTCGTTTTTTGGTCCTACTGCAAAGACCAGGAACAAGTCAGGTAGTTGTTGTCCGAATGTCATAGTTTTTGCCAGGGTAGAAGAACCCCGGCGGCTCGCACATCTGAATGAACAAGTCTAGTCGCCTAGTCTAGTACATCCTCTTTGGGCTTCAGCGGTTCCTGTGACGGAAGCAACATGATAACATGGCTCTCGAGTGGAACTGTCCTCAAGCACTCATTGACTCAAGAAAGAAACTTTTCAGATCCTTTCTGAAAGAATGAGTACACGATCTTCTACCAAGGTTCGGTCATCAAGCACCTCTAGTACTAGGCCAATTTCTAGGGCTCGTGGCGTTCGAAGCCTTTCGAAAACGAATCTTGTCGAGCGGCAGGAGTTCGGTTTTGGACGAGAAGACACACGAACAGAATTTGAACAGAAAAATGGCGGAGTTCCTTTCACCACCTTCGGGGCCTGCACCGCCTTTTGGGCCTTTGAAACTGCTGTCGATCCCTACACTAGTCAAAGAAGACTGCACATTACCTTACTTCCATGGGAGCTGGACCTTTGGCCTGCCTCTGTCCGCGTTTGGTTTGCTGCTTTGCAACTCTCCACACCCGAGGGCTGTGATGGCGGCTACGCCTTCCTGGCGGCGCGCTGGGCCTCAGACGTGGGCCTTGTGCCGAAGAACTGCAGCGTGGAGGATCCGCAGGCCGTCCCCGCGGCTGCGGCGTTGTGAGTTGGAAAGGACACTCAGTCATTGGACTGATCAAGGACTAAGACCCCTTTCCGCACATCCTCCCGGACAAAAGTCGCCCTCGGCCCGTTCCGACGTCGTCGCTTCGTCGCTCAGGGCCTCCTGCAGCGCTGCGAGCTGCGCTGCGCGCCGCAGCAGCTCTCGCACTCCTGGCGCGCCGCCACTTGGACCGCGAGGGGGCGCCACCGAAGCCACGCCCGCGTGTGCGTTGGGGGGTTTCACGTGTGCGGGGAAGCGATCGCACCGGGTCTGGCGGAGGACCCCAGCAGGCACGCCGCTAGTGCTGGTCAGCTGCTGGTCGCACACCACGAAGCATGCGAAGTCACTCTTGAAGCTTGTTCAGGTGAACCACCACTACGTGGGCGGATACTATGGTGCGGCCAGTGAGGAGGAGATGAAGCAAGAACTGGTGCCTGGGATGCGGATCAAACGCCCAAGCTGATGGGTGTTTGGGCTGGGTGGGTTGACGGTTCGGTGGTTTTGTCGTCCCAGATAGATAGTGGCATGGTTTCCAATACATATTGAAAGGGATTTTATATACATGATTTTACCTTTTCTATGGAAGACTATTAACTGGACTTGCTGGTTGGCTGGTTGACACTTGAAAGCTGGTTGCGCACGGCTTGTCGCCATGACGGATTTCGTTCGTTTTGGATCTTTGATCCGCTCTGAACATCCACCCGACCCTGGATGGATATGAACATGACATTTGTATATTTATTATACGTAATACATGTGAGAGAATCTTCGTGAACAATCAGGGAAACACCGCCCCAAGACACACTTCTGGTGCCAAAGCCAGGAGGGTGTCCATTCCCACGGTGGACGGGGGACTCTCGGAGGACTCGGAGGAACACGTCTTACCGTTGAGACGGCCCGTCTCGGAAGGCCAACTCATCGGCCTTCAAAAGTCTCCGCGTTGTCCCCGTGTTTTCGTGGTCACCGGGTCTCTAGCGGGAGACTCGATGCGCGATTTCACCGTTCTCCAGGTGGAGGATGGACCTTTAGTCGTCTCCTTTGAGCCTCAGAGCCTTGGGTCTGCAAGGCCAGGCCGTTGGGAAAAGACCACCAAAAGGGGGGCCCCTCGCCTAAGTGGAGAACATCCGTTTGGGTCGTGGATTCATGAACTGCCCGACCTGGTAGTCATGATGCACTTGTAAGAGGGTAAAGTGAGTTATAACTGGAATTCTAGGGCCTCTGGGATGCTTGAGCAGTGGCCAATTTGGGGTGAGGAAGCCTTTGACTTGCAAAACCTTTAAGTGGATGACTTGAACTGACTTAACATGGTAGGTTGGCAGTAGATGTTCGCCAGACAGATTTTGTGGAACTGCGGCTGGCGGGTCTTTGGCTTGGCTCCGATCCACAAATGCCACACGAAGGCCGCTGAAGGCCGCGCTGCATCACTTTCACCGATCCCACCCCTTTCACATCCGTCAAAAGGACTTTCTTCTGCAGAGTAGTCAGTCGCACCCTGCAGAGTAGTCCAAAAGGAAGATCGAAGACAAACAGATTTCCTTCTACGACCCCAGTGGTTTTCAGGGTCTACGTGAATCTGCAGGAGGGTTGTTTTCACATGTTTTCACCATAGAGTCCATGCAATCAGCAGGTTTGAACAAAGAGCTGTTGTAGGGTGGCTCTTTGAGCTCTGTTTGACCAACCATCCACGATACAGTGGGTTGAGAGGTTCGATGGCACAATCCACAAGATCGGTGGCTTAGATGGACCCCTGTATAAAAGACATTTTGGGGTTGTGCCATCTACTCTGAAACCACTGTAGAAAAGGTAAAGGTTTCTGGGCTGTCGATCCAGTTTAGAACTTCTGAGACTGCTTGATCTTAAAACAAAGCCATTTGAGTGTGAGTCAACAACCTGCCCCCCCCGTCACCATGTCCCACAAGCAATCCGTTCTGTTCAAACCTGAAGTTGTTGTAATTCCAGCGGGTACTTCCACGGGTTTCGACGAACCGAAGCCATATTAATCGAACGTGCGGTTGTTCGATCGATGCCAGGAGTGACCTGATGTACTACAGCGGTGGCATCTACTCCAGTGTGGCACATGGGCAGCGTGCGGAGTGGGAGCCTGTGGACCATGCCGTCTTACTGGTGGGCTATGGATCCGAAGATGGTAGAGACCCGGCGACGACGACTGGGACGGGTGGTAGGTGGGGTGGTAGATGCACGGCACGGGCCCCTGGGGGGGAAGAGGCTCTTTTCCTTGATAAGGTGGATAAGAGGGTCCAGTAGTGTGAAAACCCCCCAAAAGCATCTCCAAAAGACATTGAAAGACCATTGAGTCATTGAGAGATTTTGGATCGTTGTCGTCTGGTCATCCAACACTGGGTGTTTTTGGGCCTTTGGTCAAGCGACCTCATCTCTTTTTTTGAGAAAACGTCCTGAATACCTGAGAAAACACATCCCTTTGACTCATCCCTTTGTCCATTGGCCGTTCCGCCGCCCAATGGCATGAGCCCCTGCTCCGCCCACCTCGGTCTCTCGGGCGATCTGCGGGTGTTGCGAGGACGTCGGTGGCGTCGGTGGTTTGGCTTTTACATGTACGTGTTGATGGATGAATAGAGGCAACACACCCGGTCTTGTACAACCAAGTCCCAAGTCTGGAGTACGTGGTATCTGGCGGTTGATCCCTCGATTCTGATCACTCGGTTTGCTGATGAGTCTGCATGTGAACGTGGACGGAAGAACGCCGGAACGTCTTCCCCACGCCCAAACCGTGCGCAGAACATCTTCGATCGCCCCCCCTCGGCCCTGAGCGAGGAAAATATTGGCTGCTACAGAATTCTTGGGGCCACGACTGGGGCGAGGCAGATCTTTGGACGAGAGTTGTGTAATGAGTGGTGTGAGACTCCGTTTTCTGGGGAGAAAACATGAGCCACAGCAAATCTGTTGGAAGGCGTAAGGCCCCTCTCTGGTTTTTTGAAGGGTTTCTGACGAGCAATTTTCCAGATGATCAGACGAGCTGCTTTGGCAAATCTTCTGCCCCAGGTATGCTTTCCCTTTTGTTTTACTGAAAAGTTGACTCAGGTCGTACCATTCAGTAGCTAGGGCATTGCTAGTAGCAAGAAGCTACTAGGTGGAGGCCATCGCTACGAATGTAACCAGATTGAGATTCCTTCGGACTTCAGATTCGCTCGGGTCGACCGGGGACGGTTCAGTCAAAAGTCAGAGGATCCCCGTGTTTTGTTTAACCGTGCGCGCTTAATTGATTGTTTTTTTTCATGGGTGAAACTTGTTGAAGGTTGGGTCGGCTGCGCAAACGAAGGCTCGTACAACTCATGATGGGGTGGCGAGCAGCAATGATTTCAACACTCGCAGTCTATTTGTCGGTGTGCCTTGCGAGTTGTGTCGTGGACAGGTTCTTTTCTTTTCTTAGAAAGCTGCTGGGATTAGAGCTACGCACCAGCAGAGTGAACCTTTTAACAGAAGCAGTTGGATGACGTGAGACTTGGTGCAGGTTTCGCCGAACCTTGAGGAGAACATCATGTTTTTCCCTGGTTTCACCCCGTCCCAACCAGAAAGAGTTCTGGATGGAACGAGTTCCCCGTCGTCCCAGCCATTTTCCGATGTAAAGGATCTCTGGCGCTGGTGCCAGAACTTGGGTTCCAACCAGAACTGTTTCTGGTTGGGACTGGGGGGGTTCAGGTTCATATGTTTTCTGCGGCTCTTGCTGCTACAGCCATTTTGCTGTGCTGATGCGATGCATAAAGCCTTTTTATGGGTTGGCATTGGGTCGGCGAAAGCTGTTGTCCTAGCTGGACTCAGTGCATTCATGCTTGTGAGATCTGATGAGCGGATCTCCAGGGCAAGAGAAGCAACGTGTTGATGGTGATGGGCTGTGAAGGCTGGCAGAGGGTGTTGGGTCGCAGGCAGCTTGAGCGTGTGCTCAGCGATTGCACGGAAGATCGCGGTTTGGCTCTGAAGGCGTTCAGGGAGGATCTTCATCTGCACTGTGTGAAGTGCACGTGTGGCGAGGATGATACTAGAAGGGAGAAACCACCACGGGATTGCCCTTGATTTTGTGCACCTATGGTGATCAAGTATGGATCCTTCACTGAAGTGAGAGTGTTGTCGGAGATCAGGGCCGAGGACCAACTAAAGCTGGGAAACATGTGCCGACTGCCGAGCGGGCCGAGCGGTGTCAGGCTCTGGTGTTGAGGCAAAAAACGATCCAACAGCTGCGACAGGGGAGTGGCCTGGTTTGGGGTGCTTGCAAGTGCGAGTTCGGCAGGGCAAGTTGATGCTGCATTGCAAGGCTTGCCCGTCAGCTTGTTCTTTGCAAGGTCAGCTGGACAGATTGCTCGGGCAATGTCGGGCCAGGCCTTCGCAAGGCCTTCCAAAGGGGCTCGCTATGACGTGGTTATTTTGAAAAAAAGGATCTTTGTTGGCGGATTGTTCTCTCATGATGCATACCACCCTCCACTCACACAGCGGTGGGAACTGTTTAGCTCCTAACTGTTTGGCACCTAACTGCTGGGAACTGCTGGGTCCATGTCATCCGGTCACGGACGGGTCTTCCAGGACTTTTGTTCTTTCATTTGGAAAAGAGGCCTCAATCATGTCTCTAGCTTTTTGTGTTCGTGCCTGTTCCTTGATGGCCAGTTCTTTGCTCCCTGGTGATTGATGACATTGTTGCCTTTGATCCTGTTGTTTAATGAGAGTTGGTGGAGTTCTGGCAATTGAATGACCTTTCCCATTGCCTCTCCTGTTGCCGTGGAACACTTTGCCCCTGGCTCTTGAGGGGCTGCTGTATGCGGCTCCTCGCATCCTGCCCAAAACACCTCTTTCACTCTTTCAATGGGACCTGAGACCTCCCCGCTTTTGGGACGAGTTTGGTGCTCATTGAAGGCGCGTTGGTCCTTTCTTGCAGGATGGCTTCATGCGCATGGCCCGTGGCATCGACGAGAGTGGCATCGAGTCCATCGCCGAGGCCGCGGACGTGGAGGTCACGTCCTCGCCCAGGCCGAGCGAAACGACCGCGCGCGCGGAGACCGCGGACCGCGGTCTCTGGGTGTAGAGAAGCGAAGTGGCATGACTAGAGGAAGAGAGGTCCACGACGCGTCGTCCACGCTATCGTATTGGTGTAGGAATTATGGATTCAAGCCTTTTTTTGTGGGGTGACCATGGTGAGAATGGTCAGTTCAACATTGGAGAGATGGGGCCAGATGGGGAGACAGAGGGGTTTGAGCTCTTTCTGGTCGATTTTCCAGGCGATCGAAGTGGCGAAGTGCTCTTGCTTCGCGTTTGGACTTTTCACTGCAGAATTTGTAGGAGTACCTGAGTGCTTGAGTCCTCTTTGGGGTGGAGCGACAGCAGGATACAGCAGGTTTCCTTGGTATGAAGGGTCAGAGATCAAGCGTTCGGGGAGGCGTTCGAGAGAGAGAGAGAGAGAGAGACATTGACGCCCTTGGCCTATCCATTGGTGGCTTGGTCTCAAAGACCACATGCTCACCAGCTTCAGAAACCACACATCACAGGTACATGGTATCTATAGGCTATAGGTACCATCTGGTACCATCTGGTACCCGTACTCTTGGATCGAGGCTTTCTTCAGTGGATCACAGGTTGAAGAAAAGGCTACACTCATGTTTTCACTCCCGAGGCTTCCTGGCCCACCGATTTCATGGTCTGAATTTCGGTCCCAACCGAGCTCCTTTGCTCAGGAGTTCACCAGGTCAACCGAACTCTTTTAATGGTCGAACGGAAGGCCTGTTGATTAATATAACCCTGCTACCAAAATGGTGTTCCATCTCCATATGGTGTGTGTGTTATCAATCAACAGTGTCTACATTCTTCTGAGGATATTCACTGACTCACCCCACTGTCCACTGTCACTGCTTCACCTGTTCACCCGGTTTTACTGAAGCTGCGTTCGGCAGTTGTGTTCGGCTTCAAATCCGATGACGGCATGGTTGGCTCAGGCGATGAGGTACAGGGCGTTTGAAAGACAAAGATCTGCCGATCTTCACTTTGCCTCACAACATTCCAGTCACGCTCCTGGCAGTGTAGGACACTCCAGTCACGCACTCCCAGTCACACACTCCCTGTCACGCGCATCTCAATCACACTCACAACCACACAAGCTTGTACTTGCTGAACAAAGAGCAGCGGAGGTTTTCAAGAGATCCAATCTTTAGTTCTTTCCCGCCCCTTTCCAAGATTCTACTTCGTTCAAAGAACCGTTGTCTTCCTCGCCCTCTTCGGGCTGCCTGTGGGTCCTGCGCATGTCGACCGACTTGACCGACGGCGTCGATCACGGCGTCAGCTGCGGACCGACGCATGAAGATGGAGTTCTGGAGATTCAGGTGGAGAAATCCCCGTTTTGATAGACTGAGCATGTTCTGAAGCAGCCCCGCAAAAATCATGGAATAGACGGGTTTATTTATATACACTCCTTTTCTTTTCTGAAGAACATATATAGCTTATTAGTTTCGTCTTTTTTTTTGCGTAATCCTTGTATTCCAAACGATCAAGGCAGTTGGCTTGGATGGAGAGGAATGTTCAGTGCGAGTGCCTGCTTCTCTCACAGGTCGTCAGCTTCGAAAGATCATCAGCGACAAGCTTCCTCCCAAAGCTGGTGCAAGAGTTGCGCTGCAACAAGGACCTGAGATGCTTCTTCTAGACAAGACCCTAAGAGAATCCTTTGGGCTTGTAGACTCTGCATGTGTGACCTATGTTTACATACCTGCCAGCCTCTATGAAGCCTGGAGATTGCTTTCAGGCTTGCCCGTTGCTGATCACGCGAGTGCGCTGGAAGGCATGACCCAACTGGAAAGCCTCTCCTATCCTCATCAACTCGAGACACTTCCAAAGAGCCTCCAAAGCTGTAAATGTAGTTTTGAGACCGTCCGATTCAACAAGACCTTGGAGTGTATCACTTTACCCAGCCAGCTCCAGAGCTTAAGCTTCGACTACGATTTCAACCGACCCTTAGATGGACTTGCTCTGCCCAACAGTCTCCAGTCTCTGACCTTTGGCACGACCTTCAACCAACCCTTGGAGAAGGTGAACTGGCCGAGTCGTTTGCGGAGTCTAACACTGGGCGCTTCCTTCAACCAGAGACTCGACACCATTGCCTTTCCTGCAAGCCTGGAGAGCCTGACCTTTGGCGTGGCATTTAATCAGCCGTTGGAGGCGGTGAAGTTCCCTGAGGGACTCCAAGCACTCAGGTTTGGTGATCAATTCAATCATGTGCTTGGAGAAGCACTGCCTGCAGGACTCCAGGAGCTGATTTTAGGCTATGGCTACAGGTTGGATGCAATGAATGAAATGACCTTGCCTCATCATCTTGAGAGCTTGACCTTTGGCTTCAAGCAGAGCCTGGATCAAGTGACTTTGCCTGCAATGCTACAGCACTTGACCTTTGGTCAGGGATTCAATCAGACTTTGGACCATGTCACTTGGCCCAACCTTCAAAGTCTAACCTTCGGTTTTGAGTTCAACCGCAGTTTGGATGCGGTGACTTTGCCAACGAATCTCCAAAGTCTTACCTTTGGCCATAGGTTCAACCAGAGTGTAGATCACATTTCTTGGCCCAGCTGCTTGCAAAGTCTCACCTTTGGCTTCAATTTCGACCAGAGTTTGGACCGGGTCTGCTGGCCGCATGCTCTACAGAGTCTCACAGTTGACATGTCATTTGACCAGAGTTTAGATGGAGTCACTTTTCCCCATGGCCTAGAACGTTTGACCTTTGATGGTCGTTTCAACCAGAGTCTCGACATGGTTCCTTGGCCGAAGGGCCTCAGATGTCTCACATTGGGCCATCGGTTCAACCAGACTTTGGGCCAAACGACTTGGCCCGCGAACCTGCAGAGCCTGACCTTGGGCGGATCCTTCAACCACCCTTTGGTGTTGCCCGACAGTTTGCAGAGCCTGACGATCGGCGGAGAAAGGTTCAGGCAGAGGTTAGATGCTACAACTCTGCCCGGTGGTCTGTTAAGTTTGACATTTGGTGATGAGTTCAACGAGAGCTTGACTGACGTGAGGTTTCCTCAGCGTCTTGAGAGTTTAACCTTTGGCAATGATTTTGACCAGAGTTTGGAGAATGTGACTCTTCCCAGCAGCCTCAGGAGTCTCACCTTCGGCGATTTTTTTGACCAGAGCTTGGAGAACCTGACTTTGCCTGAGGGCCTTCTGACTTTGACTTTCGGCGAGTACTTCAACCAAAGCTTGGAGAACGTCCCTCTGCCCAGCACGCTGCAGAGTCTCATTTTCGGAGTTGAATTCAACCAGAACTTGGAGAAAGTGATTTGGCCCGCCAGTCTGAATTACTTGGTGTGCAAAGGCTATACCTTGAGCACACAGATTTGAAGCTTAGACCAGAGACTTGGGCCAAAAGCAGGTGGGCCAAAACAGCTCAAGATCACCGGAGCTCAAATGACCCCTCCAAAACAGAATCGTCTTTGAGACCTTCCACGTGCAAACTTGACCTTCATGTGTTTCGTGAGGAGTCAATGTATAGGTAAAGCCAATTCACAGGGTATATGATATTCACAGGGTCAATGTAGATCAATGTTTTCTACCCTAAGAATCTGGGCCCGAACCAACGGGAAGGTGCCCTGCAAGTCACAAAAGAATCCTCCACAAGCTCACCACCAATCACCACCATTTCGCGTTTAGGATCCTCCGTAGACTGCATCCCTTTTCATGCAACGCGACACCAAAGACATCTTGAAACGGGATGGCTCATGTGTAGCTGATCTTTTGCCCATGTTTACAACTGCCCTGTTGAAACTTCCACTGCCCTGTTTACTAGCACTTGAAACCTCACTGTTCTACACCCCCAAACTTCCAACTGTCCTGTTTACTACGTGTCACGTCGGTGACGCAGCAAACCTGCATCGTCCTTCGAGTGATGACAGTCATGGATGTCACGGGTCGAGCTCTCGAGAACCTTCACCAAAGGCACCTTCACTATCCTTCACTTGCTGCAAGCAGTCATCATCCATCTGCAAGCAGTCAGCATTCCCTGCAAGCACCTGCAATGTCTTTCATGCAGGCCAACGTTGTGTGTGAAGCACATCGGCATGGTGTTCGCCTCGATCTGCCGCAACGGAAGAGTTCGACGACAGTTGCTTCAACTGTTTGCATCAACTGGCTGGTGCTTAAAAGCAGAAAGACATGCCCGATACATGTGAGAAACAGGGGCCCTCCTCTTCCTACCGTGTACTACTGTTGAGTGAAAACAAGCCACCTCCACTCCCTGGAATCATTGATCATTCATGACTTCGCTGACTCGTCAGACAGGCTTCTTGCTCCTAGTAGCAATGCCCTTTGTTACTTGCAGCTTCTTGTTACTGGTAGTAAGGCCAGGAGCTACTCGTAGCTTCTTGCTCCTATTCCCCACTTCGCTGTTGTTTGAGACACATGGAAACGAGACACGTCGCCATGTGGGCCATGTCCGAGAAGATCCACACGATGGAACAGCTTGAGGGACTTCTTGAGATTCACGCGGCTGGGGAACAGCTTTTGGAAGCTTTTTTCCCTCGGATTTGTGCGTAAGAACATGTAAGAACCACCAAATGTCGACCACCTCTTTTGCCAAGAACTTTTTGAGTGGCTTCAAATTCTTTGCCGCCCAGCCATCAAGGCAGTTGGCTTGGATGGAGATGAATGTTCAGTGCGAGTGCCTGCTTCTCTCACAGGTCGTCAGCTTCGAAAGATCATCAGCGACAAGCTTCCTCCCAAAGCTGGTGCAAGAGTTGCGCTGCAACAAGGACCTGAGATGCTTCTTCTAGACAAGACCCTAAGAGAATCCTTTGGGCTTGTAGACTCTGCATGTGTGACCTATGTTTACATACCTGCCAGCCTCTATGAAGCCTGGAGATTGCTTTCAGGCTTGCCCGTTGCTGATCACGCGAGTGCGCTGGAAGGCATGACCCAACTGGAAGGTCTTTCAAAGGCTCATCAGCTTGAGACACTTCCAAGGGGCCTCCACAGCCTTGTGTTTGGCTTTCACTTCAGTCAAAGTCTGGAGACTGTGACTCTGCCCTCTCAACTCCGGAACCTCTCATTTGGTCGAGATTTTAACCAAAGCTTGGCAGGAGTCACCTTTCCTGAAAGTCTTGAAAGCATGACATTGGGTCAACGTTTCAACCAGAGTTTAAATCAAGTGAATTGGCCCGGCCTGCGACACTTGACCCTTGGCGATTCCTTCAATCAGAGCTTGGAGAAGGTTTCTTGGCCTAAATGCCTTCAGAGTCTGACTTTCGGCAGAGATTTCAACCAGAGTTTGACCGGAGTTGCTTTGCCCTCGACCCTGCAAAGTCTCACATTTGGCGATCAATTCAACCAGAGCTTGAAGGGAGTTACTCTACCTGCCAGCCTTCAGATTTTGGTCTTTGGATACTTGTTCAACCAGACCGTGGACGATGTACTTTGGCCAAGAAGCCTTGAGAGTCTGACATTTGGGGATGATTTCAATCAGACTTTAGACGCGCTCAGATGGCCTCAAGGTTTGAAGCATTTGTCATGTGGTGATTTCTTCAACCAGCCCTTGGATCGCGTTTGTTGGCCCACAGGCCTCCAGAGCCTACGCTTGGGGCATTTCTTCAACCAGCGGCCAGACGGAGTGACATGGCCTCGAGACCTTCAAACTTTGACTCTGGGAGACGAGTTCGCTTCGGAAAGCTTCACTTGGCCGAGGCACTTGCGCAGTTTGAGCGTTGGCAAAGGCTTCAAAGGCTTCAAAGGCTGGAGGTGTGAGGAATCGCATTCGCCTTCATGCCTGGAGACTCTGGTTTGCTGTGAGCTTCACCACTTGGATGAGACGTTGCCCGCGAATTCCAGCGGATTCAAGCAGAGATGGGACCGTGACCGGTCCGCAATGTGGGGTGGTTTAAAGCACCTGAGTTTGGGTGAGTTCAACCAGCCAGTGGATGCAATTCGATGGCCGGAACATTTAGAGACCTTGACCTTGGGTGATGAATTTAATCAGACTTTGGATGGCGTTCAGTGGCCAGAGGCGAAGACGGGGAAAGCAATTCTCAAAAAGTGTTACGTTCGTAGCTTCTTGTTACTAGTAGCATGGCCAGGAGCGCCCCTAGTAGTGATGATCTTGCTACATCTTGCTACTAGTAGCGATGCACTTGTTACTAGTATAGATGCTTCTTCTTGCCCGAACTTACCTGCAACAGTCAGGTTTTCCAAGCAAATCACTAGTTTTGATCAAGGTCTGCAACTGAACCATCATCATCCACTGTTACTAGTATAATGGGATAGACTCAACTTAAAATCATCTTCCTCTTTTGGTGGACACTCCCTGAAGGAACTTCCAACATTCACGTCGATGGGTTGGTAATGTTTGGTGTGGATGGGTTGGATGCCCTGGCCGATGTTCCCAACTCAGCGGAGTAGTTGAGTCGATTTGCTCCGTTGGAGTGGGCTTCTGTTGAGAAGAATGCGAACCTGCAGATTGAGAACCTGCAACATCGTTTTGGTTAGTTGTGTCGACGCCCCACTCCAACGGGTTCCTTCGAAAATACAAAGGATACAAAGAATACCAAAGACACAAAACCCTCGTGCAGCGACCGGTTTTTCTTCCCTGGCAGGGTCTTCTAGAGCTGAAACTGGGCAACAAGTTCAACCAGAGTCTCCAGCAGATCACAAGCTGGCCAGGTGGGCTACAGAGTCTTAGTCTCGGAGATCAATTCAACCAAACGTTGGAGAAAGTCGCTTGGCCCAGCGGCCTTCAGAGCTTGATCTTTGGCTACTTCTTTAACCAGACCTTGGCATCTGTGGCTTTGCCCAGGAGCCTCCAGTGCCTGGTCTTTGGATGCTTGTTCAACCAGAGTTTGGAAGAAGTGGTTTTGCCCAGCAGCCTTGAGGCTTTGACACTGGGTGATTGTTTCCATCAGAAGTTGGATGGTGTTACTTGGCCCCAAAGCCTTCAGAGTCTGACCTTTGGCGCTAATAGCGTGCAACGTGTCCAGCGCGATGTGCTGCCCATGAGCTTGAAATGCCTGGTATGTGGTGGCTTTCGATTGAGCACGATGATGCTCCAAAGAGTGGTGTGCTTTCCTTGCGCGTGCGCGTGCGCGGTCGGGGGCGCGCGACAACCGGGAGTTCCCGTCCACCCAGCTGGGGATGGAGATCCGGGATTTCCTGGTGGTTCCTTAAATCATGACATGGTTCGTGGAGGTTTTCCACCACCTGTTTGGTCTTTGGAATTCGAGGCCATTTTCCCATCCACGTCCACCATGATTTCAGAGAGTGGGTTGGCTGTTGATTGAACCAACGCCAGGCCGAACGCCAGGAGCCTGCTGCAGTTCGCAGCAAGCCTTTGATGCGGCGGCGACAAGTCTTTGCGGAGGCCCGCGGCGCTCATTGTTTGGGGCGAAAAGGGACCACTTCACGAGGGATTCAACGTCGCAAGAACATGATGCGCTGGGATGAAGCGGTCCATCCAGGTTGCCTTATGAAGGCCCTTGAGGTCCATGCTATGGCTGTTGCTGCGCGCCCAGGTGTCTCCAGCAGTGGTGGCGGGTGGTGCTCAAAGAGAAGCGCGCTCTCGCGATGCGAGTTGTAGGGCTGTTTCATGGAGCGCACAAGTCCAGTTCTTGCACCAACAAAAGGGTCTTTGTCCCAAGACGAGTTCTTCAGAACACATGTCCGACCTCCATTTTGAACACCCCCCCGACTTCGCCACAAAAGGGCCGAACATGGCAGAAGCGTCGCGGGAAAATAGCAGCTGGCCGCGACGAAAAGAAGGTGTAGACCTCACTAAGATGAAAGTGGAACATAGAAACACATAGGCCCCTGAAAGACCACTTGGTGGGAAAATCTCCACCTCCATGTGATGCACCACCTTTGAACGGTCATGGGCTGATGTTTGGAGACGGGCCGTCTCCCAGCTGGAGTGAGGCCCTGGAGATTGGATCCACCAAACACATTCCCCACAAATGTCCAGGAAACGCAGATTTGTGGCACCACCGAAGTTTTCAGGAAGTTCCTAACTGGGATCACCCAAAGACCATTTTTTAAATCGTCTTGAAGTGGGTATTCAGATGAGGAGGCCGACACATCTTCAGAGACCGGCATGAGGTGTACAAGCCTCTGACTGGGGTGACACGGCCTGAAAACCCATGCCGTCAAGCTCAGACCGAGTGACCGTCTTCTGTTGGACCGCTTTCTTCACCAACCAAGCTGACCAACACCCTTATCGACCGGTGGACGCTTCGTTTTCCTGGACACGCACCGCCTAGTAGGTAGGCATGGCCACCCAACATGGCCACCTTCGCTTCCCTTTGGGATTCGCCCAGAGTTCTTTGCGCCTCCAAAAAATGGGGAAACCACTTGTTGGGTTTGGCAGAGACGCCGGCCGCCTGCCTTCAGCACTTGGCTCAGTGTTTGGAGTCCGAGGGATGCAGGCCACGCAGCTGGACGAAGATCAGGAGAGCCGAGCTGTTCGAGTCGAGGGTTGCTAGCAGCTTCTTCTTACTAGTAGTATGGCCAGGAGCTACAAGTAGCTTCTTGCTCCTAGTTGCGATGTCCTTTGTTCCTAGTAGCTTCTTGCTATTAGTAGCGATGCCCTTGTTACTAGTAGCGATACACCTTGTCACCAATAGCTGTCTTTTTCACATGACACTGGTGCCGGTGTGTTGCTCCTTGGGAAGACTCGGGAGCGCCTGGATGGGGGACATGGATGCTATCCTTCCATCGTTTTCCGATGCTCTGCGCCTTTGGCGCGGAGTTAAGAACCGGTTTTTCGGTTCCTGGGACCGTGCGAACGTCGGAGTTGGATCGTCTTCCACGGGGTCCTTTGGAGTGAAGCTGAGCCGGTTTTCGCTCCGGCCACCCGGTTGAAACCTTTCTCAAAGAAGCGATGCGAACGTGGATGAAATTGGAAGATTCCATGGTCTGTCTTGGAAGATTCGTTTCCACAAAGAAGGGGTTTCCTTCTACTTCCGAACGTGGGTCGGTTCGTGTACCACTTAACATGTTGGGCTCCCAAGACCCCAAAAGCACCAGTCGAACCATGTTGGGCGGATCGCCGGATCGCCTGCCTTGAAGTTTGGCAAAAAGCGCACATTGGATGTACTGTATTGTGATGTTATGATGTCCATTGGACACCCATTGGATGGTCCAAGCATGTATATTTAATTACAATTAATATACATTAAATTATGTGTGTAGCTGCAGATTCCAGCTGATTTAAGCTCAAGGCTAGACACCATTTCCAAGGCCTTCCTGATTCCCTGGCCCCACTCAACCTGATTCTCTGGGTTTCGGAGCTGAGACGAGGGCCATGCAGCCTTTGCTTTGCAGAGTCATTCTTGACACAGACAGCACAGACGCCCATCAAGTAGCACCTCGTAGCACTCTGGATCTACCACCGCACCTGGGTGCATGGACAGTCGGAAGCACCGATGTGGTGATACACCCCAGGACCACACTTTTTACTACATTTTTTTATAATACTGCTGCGCCGCTCGCCAGGAGAGCGCCACTGCCACTGAGCTCGAAGATGAGTTTGGAGCCACAGCACCGAAAGATCTGTTTCGTCGAAGCACAGCTCAGATAGAAGCGGGGTCACCCGAGACCCGAACCGGGCTTGGCGGCATGAAGACTGGAAGACCACGTCGTTCGGGTCAGACGAACTCAGGGTCGGGTCTCGGAACCAGGGCGTCTGTGTTATTTGGTCCAAGCAAAGGATATCAACACATATCAACAGCTCAATGGATAATTCATATATTTAAGATACCTTGGGTTAACATAAGTTATTGCTTGGCCAGTCAAGAGTTTTCCAAGACCAATCGGTGGCAGTCACCAGATCAACCATAGGAGGTCAAGACCCGGCAAGAGACCACAAACAGTGTCAGAAACCCTAGGGAACCCTAATTAGTGCTACCACACTGTTTGGGGAAAGACTCATGACATCGCGCCTCACGACATCGCCTTTGCTTTGCCTCATCGTCCGGCGCCCTCGCGCCCTCGTGCCCTTCCCGGCCCTGGCGCCGGGGAAAGCCGCTCCCTGCGGTTCGGTGTCATCGTCGACTCGGGGTTGGATGGTCACCCGACACCAATGAGAGACTCGACTCTTCCAGGGAGAGTGAACTTTTTTAGACCCCAATGATGTCCAGTATTATTCTACGATATCTTGACCGGCTGAAGTAAAGGAAGTTCCCCAAAATCAGGTCCCCAGACATCGCAGGAAGCATTCTTTTTATAGTCTGACCGACTCCCAGGGCAGACTCCAATGATTCGAAACCAGGTCAACCAGCCATGGCTGTGGGTCATGCCCGGAGATCCGTGGTATGACCATGTCAGGCGACGTCTGTTCTGCTCACGACCCACTGGTGGGACAATCCAGGGTCCCCCAATGCCACCCACCATGTCTTACTCCCCTGCTATTCCGACCACAATGGACCCGCAAAACCACGTCGGGTTGGTCGGAAGATGGTCGAAACCACAGGTCAATTCTCAGGTTCTAATCTAGGGCTAAGGATGGCTAAGGGTATTTCTTGTCCAATGACCTGACGTGTGCGTTCGTCGAACGAAGGCTCGAATGGTTGAACGGTCGCGAGCTGACATCAGGCCAGTGGAAGCAGAGGCACAGTGGATCTTCGTGGATTTCGCGGTTCTTTGGATCTTTCGAGACACCTGGGTTTTTCCTCCCCAACTGGACACAGGTGTTTGGATCAAAAGAGAACACTAGACCTGAAACTGCCAGAAACTTCGGATCCAGCGATTCGGACCCCGACGACTATTCCCTTGCTTCCGGACGGGAGCTGATGTTTTGGGAACTCCGCGGTGGGACCGGTTGGAACTCCGTTTCGACCGGTGTTGGTTGTTGTGGGGAAAAGCGAACGTGTGGGCGACCGTGTGGGCGAACGTGTGAGCAGAAGCGAGCAGGTTTGCGTACTGGTTTGCCCGGTTTTTTGCGTGGCCCTGGTTGATTTCATCGCCCCAAAACCGAGCAAGGAGTTTTACACTACAAAGCAGGGTCGTTCCCATTTTTTACAGTGGTTTCAGAGGACCAAGCACAAGTTACCCGAAGGGGTGGTTGATAGGGACCCCCAGCTGTCTAAGACATCTTTCGGGGTTGTGCCATCGAACCTCTGAAACCACTGTAAGTGGTCATCACTGAAGGCGAGTTCGTAGTCCATAGGAGTCAACCTTGAGTCAACGCATCGCTGCTTTTTTTGGGACTTTGGAAGGATTTGCTCTATTTGATGATGCTAACACCACGAGAGGATGGATGTCAAAGAGTCTGAGGAAAGAGTAGTGCTTTGGTGTCCGACAAGTCAAACACCTGATCAAACATCCCACTGTAGTCCAATTCCCATGTCAAAACCATTGTCAAAACCCTACCCAAACATTTAGTGGACCCAGTTCGACCCAGTCGACTGTGGAATCTCTTCACCCAGTTGACTGGTTGGTTTTCTTCGCGACGCACATGGAAGAGATCGCACGGATACCCCGATGAAGTGTTGGATGGTGGACCCCGATGAAGGGCACCACCGAAGGGTTTCAGGAAATTCCGAATCACTTGGGTCAAAACGAGTCGTCTGTTCTCCCAGAGCTGTGATTTGAGGCTTTCAAACCCACGAAAATCATCAGAAACTGCCAGAGAATCTGATGAAGGAGATTGAAGGATTGATGCGGACAAGGGAGCTAGGAGCCCAACAATGGCGCCGGTTTTCGCATCCATCGCTGGCTTCAGCAGCCTTCTCTTGGCTCGAAGAGATTTATATAATGTGGAGCTGTTTAGAGGAGGATGCTGTGAGCTTCCAGGAGTTAACATCCCGGAAGTTCATCTAAAGTCAGACACTGAGCTGGATTGCAACAAGACGACCAGGTTGTGACATCCTTTTGGTGCCTTTCGATGGAATACAGGTTGGGTCTCTCTTACTACCTGTAACAGTCGGTAAACAATTATCACTATCCAAAAGAACCATCATCATCCACTGTTACTGGTAAACGACTCAAAATATAGGTTCCATTGGTCTTTTTGTCATGTTGATCATGTTAGTGAGTCACCAAAGAACCCGCAGGAAGATTGCTCTTGGGACTCATTTTTCCGAATGTGGCCCCGTGTGGCAAATACCAACCACTTCCGATCAATCTGCAAAAAGCCTCTTCGTCGCCTCCCCTCCTCAAAACCACCCTTCACCCACCCTTCACATGTGTTCGTCCTTCACACCACCGATCAGATGAACACGGGTTTTTCCCAGAGGTCGGTCGCCGTGCGCGAGACACGACACCGAAACGATGGACCGCGCGGATCGGCCTGCGGCGAGTGGAGGCGGGAGGCGTTCGGACCGAACCGGACCGGGCTAACCCAACGGGGGGACTACTAGTAGCAAGGTGCCTTACTAGTAGTAACAAGTGCCTTACTACTAGTAACAAGAAGCTATTAGTTAATTTAAGTTAAATTTAATTCTAATAGCTTTTTGTTACTACTAGTAAGGCACTTGTTACTACTAGCGTGGCACTTGTTACTACTAGATAGGGGTTTCAGCCAATCTGACCGGAATCGGCTGATCTGAACTCGGCGCGAGGGCGGATGAACAAGATTGCTGAGCGTTCGGGAGAGAGGGCGTAAGGCGGAGAGGATTGCTGAGGGCGTTCGGGAGAGGGCGTTCGGGAGAGCTTGTTCCGATCCTCGGGATCTCTGAGATCTTTGGAGAGATCAACATGAACTCCGGCATCTGAGCGTGCTTCGTTCCAGGTGTACCAGGGATGTGCGTGCTTCGATGTGATAGAAGCCTTTGTCTCTCAGAAGAGGTAGTCCCACAAAACCTCCGAACAGGCAAAGATGGAAGAAGGATAGTAGGATTTATAGATGAACAACGCATTGGTTGTGGCATACTCCGGACTCCATTCCTTTTCTCCACTCAGTTTCAGAACACCTCTCTGCCTGAACCGCCTGGCCCTAAACGCCAGGCTACGCGCTGCCGGCGCGGCCCAACCGGCAAGCCTTGGAGGCGCCACCTGCGCGGGCGAAGCCACGGACTTCGGCGCAGGCGTGTGGATAGGGGGGCGAAGAGGGCGAACGGCGAACGCGCGTGCTTCTTTTTTCTTTCCCATTCTTTTTTCCTCCAGTTCTTTTCTTTGGCTTCGTATTATTGCAAATCTTGCTCTTTCAATCCAGTGGGGTTGTCGGTGTTGTGAAAGGAGCCTTGGACCAAGAGCTTCGTGGCGAACTCGAAGCTTTTTTCCTTTTTGTCCTCCACACTCAGATTTCCGATGCAAATGAACGGTCACACTTCGGGTGACTCAGCATTCGTCATTTGGAGGCCGCCACTAGCCTACTGATGTAGAGTGATGAAACCACTAGCCCCTCACACACACATTGATGTTGGTTTCATCAGAATTGATGTTGGGTTCACTAAACCTACATGTTCCTTTTGCCACAAACAGTAGGCTAATTAGTGGTTACCTAAACAGTAGGCCCTCTCCGAAACAGCTGTGCAGCTGTCACAGCTCTCTCAAAAAGGAAGAAAACTCGGCATTCATGTGCAAGGCGGGACATTCCAATTTGGATGTCTTCTATAGGTCGTCAGGTCGTCTGTGTTTCACTCAACATTTTGCGGGGATGCGGGGAGATCCAGAAAAGTTGGAGACCACTCCTGTCTTAGCCTGCCGCGAAACTTCCACCGTCTCGAGTCTGCTTCGATCGCGCGGAACTTGGTGCCACGACCGTCGTGTTGGGCTCCAGCTGAGTTGCGCCAGCAACGCCGGATTTGATGGAAAAATGGACACATTCTCAAAGGATGACACAGCAACATCCTTCAGCACTAAAGACCTAAAGGTGTCAAAGTCGTTGCAGGATCCGCATCGAATCCTCGGACATGTTCTGCTTGGCGGTCTGAGCTTTCCCTTCCGTGTTCGGCAGTGAACATCTCTCAACAACAAGTCAACGGAGGGGCTCCTGGGGCTCCTGCTTTCAAGTTGAAACCTTGCCAGATTTGAACCACCATTGATTCAATAGCCTGGGCCTTTACCAATGAACCAATTTTGTTTTACTAAGGATTTTACACTACAAGATACTACAAGTCCCTCCAATTGCTTAAAAAAGAGGTCCAGTTCGGGCTACAGAACTTGGCTCCGAACCATGGCAAGTCGCGAAGCAGAGACGCCGTGCCCCGCTTGACACGTCAGTAGCCATGGCGTATGGCGGTGCTCAGGGAGAGGAAGAACTTTTGGAGATCCAAGCACCTCTGAGGAAGATGGGGAGCCGTCAAAATTATGAACATGATAGATAGATGTAAAACATGTGACATGACATGAAACAGGTTGTTTTTTCAGATTAAACAGCCATGTATCATGGAACAGTGCTTTTCAAAAGCAGCAGCGTGGATTTCCTCCTGACCCCTTCGTTTTCTGCATTTGACGTGTATCCTCCGGCATCTCTCCACCGCGTCCGAGAATTGGATGCAGTCGGGCCTCATTCCAGGAGCCCTGTACCCCGTTTGGTTGAGCCCCGATGAGCTGAAGAGTGGCGAAGAGGGGCGGTTCGATCGTGTTTTCACTCCATCAACAGATGTCTTTTTTTTCTGGTCAATCGCGATGCAGATTTTCCGCTCCGTTGGGTGGAAAAGACCCCAGTACGTCATGTAAAGCACGTGGCATGTGGTGCTAGCCGACCTCGTGTCGTGCAAGCCGACCGGGGGGGTCTCCGCGACACGCGTTGGATGGCACTCCTCAGGTCCTGGGCTTGGATGGCACGACACTCCACGTCCGTGCTGCCGAAACGCTCTGTGGCCGTGAACTGAGATCGATGGTGCGGGACCGCTTGGCGTCCAAAGCGGGCGGACGGCTCTGCTTGCAGATGCTGGGGCACCGTTTTCGGTTCTCGAGCGTTGCGAGCGTTTGGGGAGCGTGTTGTTGCGGGGCTTTTTGTTTGGTTACTAGTTGTTTGTTGTTTTCCAACCGGTTTTGATCGAATGACAATTGATATTCTCAAGGGCCAATCCAATCGGTACAGCAGATATACTTTATATGAATTTATATGAGTTTATTCAACTGAGTTCAACTGGTTGCAATTAATAAACATAATTGAAGTGAACGGCCTGGCAGCTGAGTTTCCTCAAACAGTTACATTGATCCGCACATTTTCTTAAAAGTAGGCCATCTTGTGGATCCGCGAACATACCAAGTTGTGGGAGTGCTCGGTGAAGCTTGTTGTGTTCCTGTTGTGTTCCTCATCCGATCAATTCAAACTTGTTGATCAGGTTGTTCCAAGACTTTCATGTATAAATTGCTACTCCCCTGTACCTACCTTTCGCGTGGTTTAATATACATGTGTACTATATTTAGTGTTTACTGACATTCTTATTCCTAGCATCGCTCATTTTCATCCCCTCAGTAAGGAAAGGATCCGAGATGCTTTCCAGCAGCAAGACTCTGAAAGAAGAAGGCTTAAGGGTGGGATCTGCTGCCAAAGTGACCTATGTCTACACGCCCACGAACTTGCGGTTGGCCTGGATGTTTCTTCAGCAGCTGCCTGTTGATGAGGAGAGTCCATTGGAAGGGATCGTGGAGATACAGGGGATCAAAAGCCTCCATCAGCTGAGAGAACTTCCCCAGAGTTTGCGACGCCTGTCCTTTGACAATCACTTCAATTCCCGCACCGAGCAGCTTGGAACTATTTCTTGGCCAAGCATCTTGGAGAGCTTGACCTTTGGATTTCAATTCAACCAGACTTTGTGTGGGGCCAAGTGGCCCAAAGAATTGCACAGCCTCACGTTGGGCGAAAGCTTCAATCAGAGTTTAGAAGGAGTGATGTTCCCCTCGAGCCTTCGATCTTTGACCTTTGGCATTGGATTCAATCAAAGCTTGGCACGAGTCCATTTTCCCGAGGGCCTCCAGAGTCTGGTCTTTGGTAATCAGTTCAATCAGACGTTGACGGGAGTTGCTTGGCCTCAAGGGCTCCAACATTTGGCCTTCGGAAATCGATTTGATCAGAGTTTAGATGGAGTGACTTTGCCACAGAGCCTCCAAACCTTGAGCTTTGGTTGGGAATTCAATCAGACGTTGTCCAGACTCGCATTGCCCGTCCGTTTGCAGAGTTTAACCTTCGGCGATTTGTTCAACCAAAGTCTGGAGGGAGTCACCTTGCCTGAGAGTCTCCAGGTCTTGCGCTTTGGAGATTTGTTCAACCAGGCCTTGGATGGTGTGATCTTCCCCGCAAATTTACAAACATTAAAGTTCGGCAGCCAATTTAACCAAAGCTTCAAGCTTTCGGCAGCCAGTGAAGGACTGTCCAGTTTGCACTCTTTGACCTTTGGAAGGGAATTCAACCAAAGTATGGAAGGAGTGACTTTGCCACAAAACCTTAGCCATCTGACCTTTGGATTCAAATTCAATCAGCATCTGGATGGGAGACATTTTCCGTGCAGTTTACGTACACTGAGATTGGGTGGTCCTTTACTCAAGGCAGAATTGGACGAGAGGGCCTTTCCGAGGAGTCTAAGGAGTCTGACGCTGGACCAGAGTATTTCTGGGATCACTTTGCCCAGGTGGCTTCAGTGTTTGACTTTTGGTAGTGACTTCAACCAACCTTTAGATGGAGTGTTTCTACCTGAAGATCTACAGAACTTGACCTTTGGCAGCCAGTTCAATCAGACCTTAGACCAGCTCCTTCTACCTGACCGTCTTCAGACTTTGACCTTTGGCCGACGATTCAATCAGCCATTGGATTGGCTAAAGCGATGGCCCAGTGGCCTGCAGAGCTTGACCTTTGGTGAGAAGTTTAATCAACCCTTGGATGACGTGACCTTGGGACCAAGTCTTCAGCAGTTGACCTTTGGCGAGAAGTTCAACCGGAAGATCCAGAGGGTGACTTGGCCGAGCAGTTTGCTGAGTCTAACATTTGGCTGGGAGTTTAATCAGTCTTTGGACGGAGTGACCTTTCCCAAGAGCCTTCAGCAATTGAAGTTTGGAGTCAAATTCAACCAGAGTTTGGAAGGAGTAACTCTGCCTGAGGGCCTCCAGAGTCTAACCTTTGGCGATTTGTTCAACAAGAGTATGGATGGAGTCACTTTGCCCGATGGTCTTAAGAGTTTAGTCTTTGGAGATCTTTTCAACAAAAGCTTGGATACAGTGATTCTACCCAGCAGCCTTCAGAATCTCTCCTTTGGTGTTGAATTCAACCAGAGCCTGGAGCGAGTGGCTTTGCCCAGCAGTTTACAACACCTCAGCCTGATGGGATTTGCTCACCTAGATGATCTGCTCTTGCCCACGGGCTTACGACGACTGTCGTGCAATGGCTTGCTTCTGAGCGTCTTCCTTGACGGAGAGCGCGGAGGCGGAGACCGCCTGTCGGGTGAGTCCTCGGCGCTCTCTGGCGCGGAGGGCAGAGGCCTTTCTCCTCCGAAAAAAAGACAGCGATGGTGACGAGTAGCGATGCCCTTTGCTCCGTTCGTAGCGTTCTTGCTCCTAGTAGTAAGGCCAGGAGCCCCTACTAGCTTCTTGTTACTAGTAGCGATGCCCTTCGCTCCTAGCATTCACCCAGCCAGATTCACATTCTATCCCAGATCGGTGGGATTGACGGGTCTTTTTTCTCTCATAGCTATAGGTCTTCTGTTTGAATTCGCTGTTTGTAGGCATCCCAACCGGACCACTTTCACTCATTCAAAAACCGCTCCAAACGACTCACGACCCACAACCGGACCAACCCACCCGAGGCACGCTCTCCCAATCGCTCCGTGCGGCTCGTCGACGAGGCCTTTGGGCAAAACCGCCAGAGCGACCGTCCGCGCTCCAAAGGCGAGGCGATCTGCGGCTCGGTGCATCGCACGTGGTTTTTCAACCGGGGAGCTTGTGTGCCGTAGCCCATACCCAGTACCCCACAGATCCTTAGAGGTCAGGAGCTGACTGACCAAAATACTGAGTTGATCCTACCAAAAACACTACTCAGTGAAGCAAAGGGCCAGGTTTTACTGGTCAGACTTGACCTTTAGGGGTATGCCATTTTGTTGAAGTGCTCCCACTTGGCCGCTGGGGCATGGGTTTTCGCTGCGAAGCAATTGTTAGGCCCTCCGTTTAGCTTTGTATTCAAGCCAGAAAAGAGTTTAGCAATTGTTTGTGCTGGCTCATCCCACCTACTGGAAGTGCAACATTTTCCGACCAGTCGTTGGGTTGATGTGGCAACGAAACACTGTAAAGCCACGGAAAAAAAGGAACCACAGCGTTTTGGATCAGAGACCTCATAGCAAGGCATGTGGTCTCAGACACCTCATAGAGGATGGAGTCCAATCAGTTGGCGCGCTTCGCCGCGCCGGCCGAGTTGGCTCCGGATGACCGACTGACCGGTTCGGTGGTGCGACCGGCGGTGTAGACGAAGATCTGCTTGAACCCCCCAGGACTGAAACAGGGCTTTATGAGAATCAAGAGCCATGATAGTAGGTCTTGGTGAAGCGCTTGATGATCTTTTCTAGGAATTGCTCTTCTGGGGAGAAAGTCCTTTTTGATTCAGCACTGAGATGTGGTTTTCACTTGAAGACTTTGACCAAGCTGCTCAAACAGAGGCATGTTCTTGATGCATGTCCAGTAGTTTGGGAGAACTTTCCATGGAACTATACGCTGCAAGTAAGTTCCGGAACACTTCTCCCGTCCCTAGATCAGACGAGAGAGCACGAAGAAGCTTCAGCCACCAGCGAAACCTTTAGCTCGATCCCCAAACCGGACAACCTCCTACCGGACAACCTCCTACAAGATTCTGTCCAATCATCATCTTGAATAGCTTGAAACCCTCAACCTACGGGCTGTGAAACCAACACACGAGAAACTTGTTCTCGTCGCCGTGACCACTTCGCTGAACGACCCAAGTGCCGCCCCGTGGCAGCCGTGGCAGCACCGCGGCCCATCCATCCAAGCGCTCCACGCCCGGGACCGCAGGGCGGGCGGCCCAAGAGGAGATCATCGAGGAGTTCTTGGAAGGCGACGGACGACGAACGGGGCGACAGGAGCGCACACACACTGGCGGGGGGCGGGGGGGAACCACCTAGCGCTCTCTTTTGCGGGAGAGAAAGGAAAGGAACCATAGGTGGAAAGGAAAGGGAAGGAGTTCTCCCTTTCTTGAGCCCAGTTGGGTCATTTTGGGGATGCAACATCGGATGCAACATCGGTGCTCTCTTGGGAGCTGTTCCATCGAGTTTTCGCTGGCTCCTGCCGCTAGTTGGTCGCAGTTCGTAGCATCCGGATGCCTCAGGCCTCTCTTTCTTTCGATTGAGACTTTAATCTTGTTTTGTCCAGCAATTCTCCGGGGGGTCACGTCATCACGTCATCCAAAAGGAGGTCGCACGAGTCGTCACGTCAGCACGTGTACAGAGGGTGCACTTTCAAACTCACCATCAAACGAGCACTTTCTCACCTCAGCTGTGTGAGTCATCCACTTCTTTTGCACCCCCGAGCAACACCATCTCCAAGCAACACCTCGGCTGCTGACAGGAGCGACTGTAGATTGATACTCTAGACTGACAAATAAAGCCCTCCAGGCCGAGGTTTTTAAAGCCCTCGTCTTGGGTGGGGTTTATCCGAGTTGACATGAGTTTCAAAACCCGCATCCGAAACTGACGCAAGGAACTCATTTGACCTCATTTGACAGTGGGTCATCAAAAACGACACCACTCAATGCGCTTTTTCCAGCAGGTTGGAACACTGGGTCAGACTGAACCTTGTTCAGGGGGCCATTTTGTGAAGTGCCCCACCCCCCTTTGGGCCGTGTGGACGGTGTGGACATGATGTCTCCATCTTTACGGAGAAAAAACCATGATGTCTCCGAGCGTCTCGAAGACGAACTCCTCCAGGTTTGCTCGATGGCTTCCGCCCCTCGGAGGGTTTTGACGAAGCGTCGCGTGTGCACGGCCGCGTCTGATAAGGGCCGCAGATGGACTCCGTTTGGGAGCGAAGAAGAGGATGCGGTCGACCGGACGACTCCACCGCTGGATTCTGCGGATGACCAACGACTTCTCCGACCTCAAAGGGATCCGATTCGTGGCCTTTTTTTTCCAGGTGAACGAGCTCCTTTTGGGCTGATTCGTTCCGGAACAATGGGCTTCAAGTTCGGAGTTCACCTGGAGTTGAACTAGATTGCCACCTTAGAAATGGTTACGGGAGTTCTGGGTAGTTCTTCGGTTCCTATAATTAGGATTCTAACAACCATTGATTTGATGGGTTGTTCACCCTCGAAACCATCACGTGAGGTTCTCACGTGAGAGAACGCACTGACTGGCCATGTCTGGTGTGAAACATTCATCTTGTCAACTTTCCCGGGCATTCGACCGGCCTTCTTTAAATTGACACCCTGGAAGAGACTCACACACCTGAGTGAAAACCACGCCCGGTTTGTAGAGGAAAACTGTCTTCCAGTCTGGTCCATCCCATCAGGTTCCATGTGGACCTCTTCCCGGGAGTAAATCTTGTGACACTCCTTGGATTGGGCCCGCAACATCCACCGGCACCAGATTTACCCACCCGAACGCCCGACTCCGCTGCGAACATCACAACCGCTGGTGTGGTGGACAGAAAGACCCAGACAGAATCGATATAACACCAGCCCAGAAGGCATCAATTTTGCATAGTTGGAAGATCTAGGTACAAGTCAATCGTCAGACAGCCTCATGTCACACACATCAACGGCCACCGGACCGGCGGTCCGACTCCCGATCTCGTCTTCGGAGTCCATCTTCGGCGAACCGAACCCCACCGGGTCGTTCCTCGTCCAGTCGACCGGTCCGAGGGATGGCCGGCGTGGGCCACCGGAGCCCGGAGAAGGCACCCGTCTTGCAAGACCCCGGGCAGCTTGGTGCGGATGTCACGGACATCGTCACGGCCACCTCGCGTGACCTCGCGCGGGTGACGGGCGGATCGTGACGGGCGGGTGACGAGTGAGGGTTTACGACAAGGGTGACGAACAGTTTGGCCGCCAGAAGGAGCCGAAGTGGGACTTTTGAGATCTATTTTGGGAACATGTTTTCTTCGGTTTTTGTGGGGAACATAGAGTATATGTAGCCATACATGATTGTGGAAGGAGACTCCAACAGTTGCAGTTTGGAGCAGCCTGGTCATGCGTGATGTGTGTGTTGGGAGCAGCACTGAAATGGGAGAGTAGCTGCGGATCCGACAGCTTCTCTGTTGACCACGAAGAGACGGCGGAGCTAGCTGGCTCTCTGGCTCGAGCACGCTGGCTCCAACGCTACCAAGCAGGTTGTGCATCCAACCAACCTGAGGCATGGCTCGAAAAAAGGCACGGCTGAACAAAGACATGTTCCCTTTGCGTGTTGGTAGATACAATGGGGAAACTAGTCAACCATCAGTTCAACAACCAATCGGAAAGCTTTCCAAGCAACCTGAGCCGGCCATAGCCAAGAGATCTGGAGTTCAGTCAGGTGTTGTGATAGGGTTTCTTCTTTCGCGGTTGGGTCGCGTACCAAAATTGCTTGTGCTGCGGCTCGAAAAAACGCGTTGCTTGTTTCATTCAAATCCCTCTTCTCTCCATCGACCACGGAGTCACCCTGTACTCTGACTTCGATCTCTCGCTCCGTGACCCCCCGGCCGAGCCGTCGCCCGTCTCTTCCGTTCTGACCACGTACGGCCGAGCCGTCGCCGAACGACCGGACAGAACAGTGGGACGTTCCGCGAAAAACGGTGCCCCGTACGTTGTTCTTTGTTTTCCTTTCCCAAGAGCGAGAGCCCGTTCGGGGGGTTCTTGCTTCTGCGGGACGCAGGGACGCACAGAGCCCCCACAGGGCTCGTTCCGTGGTGGGTCGGTGCCGATTTTTTTCCCCCCGGCCGGTCACGGTCATCACTCACGCGGGTTCGGTTCGTGGATTCCGTCGCCGAGGAACTGGCAGGATTTGGATGGCATCCCAAAGGCGTGGCTATTTTTGGGATAGCTTGTTGGATTGGCAGAATGTTGGATTGCCAAAGTTTACCATTCAACCAGCATTTGATCAGAACCAAATCCCCAGATTCCACAACTCTTGTCCATGATTCAGAAAACACTATATACCAGGCCACCCTAAGGGGTTTCTATTGATAGCTCCTCACAGGTTAAGGGGTGTCCATCAACCACCCCTTGTGGGTCCTGGTATACACGTTGTATAACCGTTAGTATTTGTGAGCACTGAGTCAGGCATGGAATTCACTGCTAGTTGAGAAAGGAATTCACCAACTCACCAGATATGGCACGGGGGAGAGGGCAGAAGTGAGGACCTTCATCTCACACATTTGATCGATCGGATCTTCTTGACTTCAGTGAGGAAGATTTCATCAAAAGGGCGGAAGAACCATTCCCGCGGCCTTGTAAATTTTTGGTCATTGAGAAGGCACTCAGGAACATGTCATCAAACGAACCAACCTCTCTGGAGAAAACCTGTCGGGTGGTTCCGATGTGCGCAGAAACCACCTCGCCCCACTTCCTCCGTTCCGACCCTTCCTTCGTGTTCGGGGACCGTTGGGGACGCCACGCGCCACGGCCTCGACCGCTTCGCCCGTCACGGTCTCGACAGGCGACCGCCAGCTTTGAGAACCAGAGGAAGATGCAGATGTTCCGCGAGCTCAAGGGACCCGGGACAGGGCAGAGGCGGCGGAGGCATGCGGAGGCGGATTTGGGCACCAAGCCAGTGGGGGAGTCTCTACCAAGGTCTCTGGTGAGTATCCCAGGATCCCTCAGATGAGCTAGGCCAAAATCATATTGAGGGGGTTATCCTAACATGCTTTACTAGGGATTACCGTCGTATATGGGACTTTCGACCAACTGAGCTCAGAAGTTTCCATAATGGTGAACCGTTTGGAAGGATGTCACCATCCAAATGGTAGGATGGGTTCACCCAAAAAGGGCGGATGAGAAGTTGGAGGATTTTTCAGACTGAATCATTGTTTCTTGGGTCACTCACAGATCTTATTGGGACAGTTTGGATGGCACCCAATTTTGGAACCAGCGAAAAAGATAGGCCGCTAGCACCCACACTCTGAGGTGGAAACAGAGTGTGTCACGCATTTGAACCAGGTGGTCGAGTTTATACTTTTTCCATGATTGGGGATGTATGTTTTTCCATGTGTTGATCTGTCCGTATTGTCTTCCATAATTGTGGTGATTGGTCGAATTTGAAGAGTCACAGATGGTGGGTGGTTGGTTGGTCCTTGAGACGGTTTGCGATGGTTGGCGTTTCTCATGGATAGTGGTGGGTCTCTTCCGTGTAGCTCCAAGATGCTTCCAAGAATCAATCAAACAACCATCTACCCCAATCCCCAGCCTTCAAAGACTATTTAGAAATATATCACCTGAAATATCACCTGCCGGCTGCTTTTCGGTCACCATTGGACACCCATTGGAAGTGCCAGGTGGTTCATTTGATTTCATTTGTAGTATAGTGGTTGGAATCCTGGCGAACCACTCCTTAAAAGTCAGCGTTTGCACGAACTCGATGGTCGCCTCTTTTCTCCTCAAGTTGGTGGCGCACGCAAACACGGCTTCCGCAGTGCGCTGCGCGCTTGCAGTGCGTGGTTTTTTGCTGCTTCGACCGCCGCGAACGCCGCGAAACGTGATGTGGATCGGATGGACGGCGATGGATCGCCGGTTCCGAACGGGTGAATCTCCGGAAGATGTGTTTCATTTTTCTCAGCTCCGAAAGACACGAAGAGCTCCCGAGGATTCCTTGATTTTTTTTCGCCTGAATCCGGAACCACCATTGCTTGACTCAGGACTATTTTCACTACAACACCAGGTCAGCACCAACTCCTTTAAAGGTCTTTGAAGATCAACACGGGTCTCATTGGAAACGCGTTCACCCAACGAAACGTGGTTCACATGGTGCTCACAAAAGCCATGGTTCACAGGTGAGCACCATGTGACCGGCTCCGAGGTCCAGACAGTCGGCCTTCGCCGCTCTGGGTGCTCGGTCGGCCGAGCCTTCCGACGGGCTCTCGGTGACGCTGCGGCGCCACGCCCTGCGGGCGCCTGGGAGTGTCAGACCGGGCAGACCTGGGAGTGGTAGGCTGCGTTCGTTTGCTTCGTCTGAATTCAAACATCACGATCTCCTCTCAGTGAGGTGTCAAACAGGTTGGCCGTTCGCAAGTCGGTCCAAGATGTCTGCTGACTTGCTGACGGTCAAAATCATGGTGAAACGGTCAACAGGATGGATGGAGACACAGCTCTTTTGGACACTTGTGAGGATGGAGACTTCTCTTTCGTCGTTTCAGAGTTTGGGCATATCGAGTATTTGGACAGCTCCAACTTGTGAGGCACTAGACCTCTAAGGGGCCATTAAATGGACCCCAAGAATCCGTGGTGCTGATCCATAACCCCTGGTCTTTGGCGAAAATCGCTCGAATGTTTGAGTGGTGCTGTCAACCGCAAAAATCATTGACCAAACATTCGTAAAATCATTGAACATCATTGAACAATTACTGATTGAGATTTGGTAAAAGATTTATCCCTGTTTGACAATTGGTAATCTTTAGTAATGAGCAAAATCATTGGGTGTGCCACGAATCCTAGGGATCAGATTGACCGACTTGGAGACATAGAGAGAGAGACCCTGCAAGAGGAAGCGACCTAGGCCTTCTTGGAGGAGACGTGTGGAAGCACAGCCAATGCCTTCGACATCATGGCAGGCGACTCCCAACACAAGAAGAGAGGATCACGAAAGACATCCATGTCTTTCGTGGTGAGGGAATGAGGGAAAGGGGAAGGCCTCCATAGAGATCACAAATTGCAGGCATGGGCATAAGCTCAACACCATATCTTGGCACTCCAAGAATTGTTCGTCTGGTCCAACAAGCGGCCAAGGTGTCTTCGCTGTTCGTCTCAACCGTTCGACCACCAGGCTTGGCGTTGAAGGCCTCCCTGGGGGCCAGTGGCACTGCGGAAGATCGGCTCCGCTACGCCTTCCAAGAGGAGGAGCGGCTCCAGTCCGACCTTGGAACAACCGACCCTTTCTTTCTCCTATCCTGTCTGGGCATGTCTGGGGCGCCGTTTGGTTTGGAGGTCCAGAAGTAGTGGGCCAGGTAGTCTATTGTGGGGACCTGTTTGGATGATGGGGGTATGTTCTATTTTTCTGACCGACAGAAGGAGAAAGGCAGAAAGGTCCTCCAGGTCCGTAGGTTCGTTAACGCCGGTTTGAAGAATGGACACGAAGAATGGACAGCCTCAACTGCCCATAATACGCAGCAATTGTTTGCAGGTGAAGTTATTTTTTTCAGACAAATGCACTACACCCGACTTATCATCTTCAAAGAGGTGCAGATTTGAGACGAGGCAGTTGGCATGAGCAGCTGACACAACGGACAGGAGTGTCTCACGTCGCAATCCAGCTCCTGGTCTTTTGAACCGTTTGGGCAAACCATGCTTGTTCAACCCAAGAGATGTTCCTTTCTCATGGAGGTCCATCTCAATCATTCGGTTTTTTTTCGTGACTTCCCAGACTCGTGGTGTTCGGTAGACTCGTGGTTGTCGTTGGTGCCCTGTATCGGAACTTCTGGACCCAGACTTCACCCGATCCGCTCCGCTCCGACGAAAGCCGATCTTCCACGGACGCCGCGCCCCGACCGCTTCCCACACCCCGATCGAGACGACGACGCCTCTCGCGCCCCGTGGCAGGAGTTCCGCCTCGCATTGACGGGGCTCGGGTATGGCCTGGGTGCCAAGGACGGCCTTCGTTGCGTCTTGGCACCGCACTTCGCCGGGAGGTGCGGTCTCTCGCCGCACGGCTGTTGAGGAGGCCTGGTGGTCGGCGCTCTTCGTGGCGGTGGATGTGGTTCGGAGACCCGGGTGGAGGCGGAGGGCCGGGTGGGCGGGAGGAGTTTTTGGGAGCGTGCTTGCGTGGGAAAGGACTTGTGACAGAGCCCTCCATACCTGGGAAATCCTGGGAAGGTGATGGAATCTTCAGTTGTTTCTGATTGTTGACTGGTATGAGCACCATGATCCTCGGAAGATTATATCTGGCGCAGCACAGAAGGCAAGGAAAGGCATTCAAACTGAAAGTATCGTTGCAAGATGTGGGCTGACTTGATTTTGCTGGGCTGATGATTGGGTGTTCTTTTGATGGGGCAAGGCCGAGAGGCCGAGACGACACGCGGAGACGACTCCTTCCATTTCGAGAATGGATTTACATCTCCAGACGGGAGTTTGATTTCAACAGTCTACATTAAGTCTTTCTCATTCCGCTGATTGCCATCTACCTGGTCATCATCACGGAGGACATCCTCTTTTTCGCGCAAACTTGTGGAGAACATACGCTGGACATCCCAGAGGTTTGAAGTGCCATCTGAGCCATGAGTCCTCAGTCCTCAGACTGAATAAAGCTGAATGATGGACAACTGTTTCATCCTTAGAAGGTAGGGACAGACACCCCTGGCACCCCAACCACCTTCGACTTCGGATGTTCGACCTTCATATCCTTCCAAATCCAAGCTTTTGCCCGTGCCTGGCTCGGGTGATGGGATGAGAAGCGTGGTCGATGACCTCTGAGGATGCTGATGGCGCTGTGACTTTGCAGGAGAACTCTCGTTCTCCGCGCCACGTTGCGCGGGGGGTACCATACGGCACCACTTCTGGCGCCAAAAAGGTCGGAGAAGAGGTCAAGAAGAGGCTCAGAGGTTGGGATGTTGTTGAAATCGAAATCTGTCGGACGGACCAACAAGAGAGCTACTTCTTCCCGGTTGGCAGGACCTCTACGATGCGCTCGTGCTGGCGCTGCCCAACGAGAAGGAGACGAGTAGACGAGTGTAGACAAGCAAGATGAGTAGATGGAGTATATTATAGATATGGCTACAAGCCCATCCGCGCCTGGGCAGACTCTGAATTTTTCCAGCTCCTGCCGACTGCTGTAGTGTGGAATGCCACAGACTCTGAGTTTGCGGCAGGTTTCTTCTTCTAGAGATACCGTTCAAGATCCCCACCACTCCGGCAACATTGGCTACGGGTCAAAACGGGGGCACCTTGGTTGACCATGGTTGACCATAGAAAAGGAACAGAATAGACCACTGGGGAGGTCCACCGACCAGGGGTCAGGGGTGTGGGCTCCGAGTTTTGACTCATTTTGGTGAGGCCAAGCCGTTCGATGCATGCAAAGGCCCGAAGGGGCTACTGGGGTGCCATGACTTCAACAGATTCCTGCAGGAAACATGTTCAGGTTCACCCTACCTGCATGCCTGCCAGTTGGTGCGCGATTTCAATCACGTCATCCATTTGTTGCCTCTTGATTCTTTGCGGAACCCACGACCCAAAAAACGCCTCTTCCACCCACGACTCTTCCCTCCAGGAGGCGCCGCCGGTCTTCTTCACCGATTCGCCGCGCAACCTTTGGGCGCGCGACCCGAGGTGGGCGCGGCTGGCGACGAGCGCGATGGGCGCGGGCGCACGCAACAGGTGAACGAAGGCTGACACGGAAGAAAGACAATTGCTTTGGAGTTACAGGCTCAGTGATTGTGTTTGGAGTCCTTTCTTTCTTTTTTTTTTGCGTTTTGGTTGTTCACATTGTTTGCTTACAATGCTTGTAATCGGCTCATGTTTCTGGTTCGGGATTGTTTCTCGTCTTCCAGATTCCCATCAATCCATCAATCCAGTCCAAGCCTTCCATCCAATTGCTTAGAATTCTGCGGCATGAGGACATCGACAAACCCCCGGATTTGCCCAAACACGAAAAGCAACACACGCTTTTTTTTCTTCTTTTTTTTTCCAACACGGTTTATTCAGTTTATTCTTTGAGCTGCCAAAAAGTGCCATGGTCGTGTGGCGAGGATTTCCTTTGGAGGGGCCTT